TGAAGTGGTGGGTTTTTCGTTTTTCTTCATACAAATTCACTAAAATCACTGCGAAATCAGCACTGGTGAAATGCCGGAGTCGCGCCCGCATAGACAGTCAGGCGGAAGGACCGACGCAGAACTCCACGCTCCACAGGGCGAAGAGCAGCTGACACACAATGGCACTTTGCAAACAACTTCTAAGTTCTAGTCCAAGATTAGTCGTGGTTTAGACCTGGTTTAGTTTTGGTTCAGCTCTGGGTCAGTTTTGGTTTAGTCCTGGTTTAGTCCATATACAGCACAAAAGTTCAGCATCTTCGGAGTTATTTTGTTGAGAGTAACTTCAAAGTGCTGCAATAGTCGTGTAATGCCTTATATTTTAAATACAGTAATATTGTAATGTAACAAATGACTTTGAAATGACAGTACCAGGTCATAAATAACACATTACAGTTTTAAAGTACACGCACACATGTTGCGTGATGATGTAGGGAAAATGAGTGTCCAATATTAACTTTGTTTTCTGTTTGACTCATGCGCTCCGTCCATTTTGATTGGGCCAAACTTTGCCAAAGAGTGTAGTGAGTCAAAATGGTCGATGCTCTGAGTGTCTGTGTTCATAACAATTGAAAAAGCTGCTCTAAGTTATTTCTCAAACAAATGGAAAATTACACATCTTGGTCTGTGTAATTGTGCTATTGCTATTTTTATTTTCAGGTTTATTTCAGTCCAAATGTACAAATCCAAATGGAATAAACTCCATGGAAATGCAGGAAGTGCTGTGGCTCTGTGCCCTGGACCTGACACCAGCTGTTTCCACTTTTGACTTTTTCCACTTTTTTTGTTTTGTTTTGAGACAATAAGGATATTTTTAGTTTCCTTACAGACTTGATATTTTGCACTTTTGCACTATATTAAGCATGTTTATGTCCAAAGAGTTGTTTATACATGTTTGCTGTGTGTTTTATATGAAAGAGTGTGAATTTTATTTTACTTAATTTTTTTCTCATTTGTATTTCTGGTCCTGTAGCTTTTATTACAGCCATATGACACAACTACAGCAGCAGATTGTGATATAACAAGTTGTAATGAAAAAAAGGATGTATAACACTTCATTACACTTTTTTTCTTCTCTGGCTCTTGACGAGGGCGGACGTGTTTTCTTTCCTCTCCTGTTCTTATCTTCCCTGCTTTGCTTGGTGTCTATGTCTCGTATAGTCTAGTGTCTTTTTACTTTGAGAGACTCTCTCTGCTCTGCTCTCCGAACACAAATTAACTATGGTTTTGATAACTTGGTCACTCAATGCAATTGACATGATTTTTTGTACAAGAAACTCAGAAACGGGCGAACCTGCGTGCCCCGACAGAACTTTCCCCTCAGGGTACACGATGGATGAGTGGCAGAACTGGCGGGTCATGTGCCTGGCGTCTCTCTCCGTGGACGACATAGAAGACATATATCTATTCGGAACCATGATTACAGGTCTATTGCTGATTGGCTCAGGCATGGCACTGATTTTTCGAAAAGTTGGGATTACCGAGGCGGCTCTTCAACGCGCCACTTGGCTGCCTGGTCTAATTGAAAGTGGAGGTAAACCTATGAACTCATTAACTGTGACTCTGAGCCGTATTTTGGAAGGTTGGGCTGCCTTGCACCGCATGTTGGAAAACATCATGAAAAAGTTAACGGTGATTGATCGCAGACTGGACGGGACTTTGGCCTTGGAGCGCAGTATGGAGAACATCTCTGAGAGACTTGAAGCTTTACAAAGGCTGGTGTGTAGACCTTGAAGACCAAGAGACAATCAGAGCTGTTGTGAAAAGAGCAGCTGCTCCACTCAAAACCAAAACATGATAAATCTTATCTATTGGCCTCCCCCAGCCAGCGCCAACCTACCAAGGTCGTGTGATTCATAATCGTCCAGGAGGGACTTGAGCAGCAGGTTGGCTCTCCTCCTCTCCAACTTTCTCTATGCCTTCACAGCTTTAGCCCCACCCAGAATTGGTGGTCGGGTCTTTTAAATCCAGCGCCCCCTGGCTGCAGGATCTAGAAGCTGTCAGTCTAGATTTTGGGGTCAACTCCAATTCCCTGTCCTCCCCAGTTGCTGTAGGCTTGTTGTTATTGTCTGTACTGTGTTTTTGTTGTATGTGCTGATGTTGCAGATTTTCTTTTTTCTCTTTATGCACTGGTTCCAGAGACTTAGTCTCCCAGACTCCAGACAGTTAGTATAAATTTCCAGATTTCAGAGAGTTAGCTGTAAAGAAGATAGTTATGTCAGATTCCACATAGTTAGTAGAATGAGTAGAAGTAAAAAATAGTTATGTCACAAATAGTAATCTCAAGACCCAAGTGTTTAACTTAGCTTTGTGTATATATGTGTGTGTGTGTATTTTTTTCTTAAATATTAAGAAAAAAAATCCAGGAGAGGTCTGAAGGGTTAACAGTACAGAAGCAAACATGTACAATTCTGGGAACCCATGAGACTGTTGGTTCTAAAACTTGGTGTACACCTCCTGCTCTGCTCCTGTCTGTGGATCTAGCACGAGAATCACCTGCAATGGCTCTTTGAATGCAAATTGTTCTCCTGAATTGACTTTACTGGCCTCATAATGGAGGGTGTGTTTTTACTTATTCACACCTGTGAGTCATCAGAGTATCAGAAATATCAGAAAAAAGAATCAGACTTTCAACTCAGACCTTTTGTGTTCCAACACTGACCTCTCTCTTGTCTGGTGGCCCAGGTATCGCTCAAATCCCCCGACACTGTTGTGACCCTGCCCATCTACATCGGGAACATCGCCGTGAACCTGTCCCCAACCAGACTCCCAGACCCCGCCTCCTCCAGCGCCGTGGCTCCCAGCGCTCCGCCCTGTGAGGACGACCTGGACGACCTGTGTGCGGGGGGCGTGGCCAACGAGGAGATCCCCACCAAGAGTCACTCCCAGCAGGACCCCAACGGGCAGCCCGTCACCCTGTCTCCTGGAGCCGCGCTGCCCCCTGGAGGCCTGTACCCTGACCTGTCCGCACAGCTCTTCTGTTTGTCCACGGGGGCCACCATCCCCTTCTTCACCGAGGGAAGTGACATCACACCCATCCCCACGTCCTGCTCCCTCATCCTGCCCCCCGAGTACAGCAGCTGGGACTTCCCTCAGGGTCAGTCTGTCAGTTTGTATTTTTTGCATGTCTTGTTTATATGGTTTTGAGACATTTCAATGAAGGGGTCTGTACCTGATTTTAAACCATGAGTCTGAACTTTTAGCCCTGCTGACTAAAGGCTGCCTGCTTCTCCCTAAGTTCAGGAGGTGTGACCTGACTTTGTGTCTTTGTGTGTGATTTTGAAGCTGTTGTGCTCCTCGTGTGTCTGTCCGTGTGTGATCATAACCAACAAACATCAGCAACACTACAGCAATAGACAATAAAACAGAGCAAAGACAGAGAGCAAAATACAAACTCAGGAAATAGTGAAAATAATGAGAAAAGTTTATTCCTCACCTCTCGTGAAGTGGTAAATTTAAAGTGCAGCATCTCATCCACATTATCCATAGAAATTGTCCTCCACAAATAATGACATCCAGTCCACAAAACTGCACTGTGAATCTAGTCTGAAGCTTTCTTTAAAAGTAAAAAGGTGAGAGTAGTTCCTCACGTGTGTCTGTTTACATCCACACAGCTCACAGATCGAGGTGAAGCCCTGGTTCAGACCTGGTTCAGTCCTGGTTCAGTCCTGGTTTAGACCTGGTTTAGTCCTGGTTTAGTCCTGGTTTAGTCCTGGTTCAGTCCATATATGGTGCAAAAGTTCGGCATCTTCGTTCGCTGATTGTTATTTTGGTGAGACTAACTTAAAGTGCTGCAATAGTCAGATAATGTCTTACATTTTAAATGCACTAATATTGTAATGTAACGAATGACTTTGAAATAACATAAACAAGTCATAAATAACACATTACAGTTTTAAAGTAACTTGCTCAACAGTGATTGTTATTAAAAGTGTATCATTGTGGAATATGAAATCATATACTGACAGTCAACTAAATTAGACTTTTTATTTTTTAATTTCAGAACCCCCTCCCACATACGAGGAGAGCTGCAGTACGGCCAACTCCACTCCTGTCAACAGCAGACAGTAGACCGGACCTGTTTGGACCCCTTTGGACCAATCAGGACGCATACTGTCTGGGTGCAGGCCGCCACTCCAAAGACTCCATGACTTTTGAATATTATTCTCACCAACAGCAGGTGAACTACACTGTGCCTACGCCGGGAGAACGGGCTCATATGGGATAGTTTTGGTTCTACTTTGATGCCTTCAGAAATGTGGAGTACAATGACATGAAATTCATGTTGTTTTGACTTTTCGTTGTTTTGTCTCTCTGTAAGGACCAATGGAAATGCTTCTTTTAGATCTTAGAGTAGAATTTCTAATATAAATTTCAATGAAAGCAAACTAAAATTAAATCAGCACAAACATTGAAAAGCAGTCATTCATTCTTAATGTTAGAAAAACAGTTTTGGTGTAATGTTGGAAGTTTTTTGTAAACCAAAGCACACTCCAGGACAGATGATCAGCAAAAATATTGTTATCTAAATGTATTAAAGAAAAAAAAACAACAAAAAAACATGGTCCAGCTTCAAGTATTTGAGAGCCCTCTTGTGGATGTTTTCTGTAAATTACAAGCTGCACATTACTAGCTACAAGAATTATGAAACTGCAATATTCATTTCGTATCTTGTATGTATCTTAAAGGCCCCATGCTCATTTTAAAGGGTCTAAAATTATTACGCTGTTTTCTAATCTGTGTTATAATGTTGTTTCCTTATCACAAACATACATGACATCACAAGGTGGAATAGAACAGTTTGAGTTTTGGAGATGTAGACAAAGTAATAATGCAGGATTACTGAAACATGTGGGAATGAAACAAAACACAACTCCAGGTTTGTTTTTAATGAGATGACAGCATTATAACATGGATTAAATCTTATAAGAGTCAATTTTGTGTCATGTAGGACCTTTATTTTTCTTCAATCCAATGAACTGCATCAGATCAGCCAACCAGGTGTTTTACTATCGTCTATGGGATTAAATATTTCTGTCTATCATCTATTCCCCATATGCTGCGTATATTTTTGCTTTCATTCTTTGACTCTGAGCAAAACAGAACAACCGTGGCCTTAACCTTATGTTTTGTTGCACAGCATTGTTAAAAATAGCTCATCATTAAGTGATTTATTTTTAGGTTTCGTAGTTGGACCTGAAGTAAAATAATTTGAAGTTTGAGATAACTGTGAAACTCCAAAGCCCAAGCCTGCCGGGATAACTGGATCAGCCTGTACACTGCACTCCAAATTTGATGAATAAGACAAAAAATGTGAATGGTTTTTTTTTTATTAACATTTAAATTTCATTTACATGTTTTTTATGTCTCCAAAAAGGGTTTCCTGCACAAAACGTTGGGACAGAAATCATTTGGAAGTGTGTAAGAGACTAGTTTTAGTAATTAGTTTAGGTCATTTTAATTGAAATCCAGCAACCCAACAATATTATAAAATAGACACACAAGTTTCATGCATATTTTCTATTATTTCCACATCCCAAAGCCTCAATATTTGTCAAACTAATTTGTATTTTGTCTGCTTCTATAAACCAGGAGTGTGAACAACAGGCCTATTAACTGCAGGGAGTAATGTCATATAGATAAGACCCATTTACAAACCACTTTCTCAAAACCCTTTTATCAAACTGTTTGCAAGTGAAATCATTTTTGTCTTATCTCTTGGGACCGTTTGTGCACAAATGTAGCTAACTCAAGGACAAGGCCGTCACTGGAATGTGTGTTATTTGTTATAATTCTTTTAGATGATGTGCAATGAGTGTTTTGACCCTATGTATGTAATCTCATGCTGCTTTATTTCAAACTTATAATCTTTCTTATGGTACTAGAGCTTTATGAACCCTCATTTGTTCTGTTCTTTTTGTTGTTGTTGCTTCATTTCTCTTGTTTTATTGTTTATAGTCACAAAATACAAATTATTATATCACCTCTATGAGAAATGTATCTTGAGAGTAGGCCTACAGTAATTTGTACTGTGAAGTGTAAAATAAAAGATTTTTATAAACAAAAATGTATTATGTTAAGAGTAGTTGTAGTAGTAGTAGTAGTAATAGTAGTAGTGGTAGTTGTAATAGTAATAGTAGTAGTAGTAGTAGTAGTAGTAAGTAGTAATAGTAATAGTAGTAATAGTAATAGTAGAAGTAGTAGTAGTAATAATAGTAGTAATAATAGTAGTAGTAGTAGTAATAGTCATCGTAGTAGTAATAGTAATAGTAGTAGTAGTAATAGTAATAGTAGTAATAGTAATAGTAGAATAGTAGTAGTAGTAGTAGTAGTAATAGTAGTAGAAGTAGTAGTAGTAATAGCAATAGTAGTAACAGTAGTAACAGTAGTAATAATAGTATGTATTTATTTTTTATGTATTTAATTTAAACTGCACATGCGCATTGTCTTGCTAAGGCTACGTGCTAAAAAAAAATATGCTAAAGGAAGCCCCTTCTCTCGGTAATAAATAACTAAAGGAAGCGTAATTTAAAAATACATGACATTTTTTAATAACTATGCACTTCAGACTATTCCAACACACAAAGAAAGGATAAATATTGTATTTTTTCCATCTTGCGTAAAAAAGACTTCATATCCCATCAGCCCTCTCGCTTTGTTTGTAGCCTCTATGCTAGCGTCACACCGTTAGCCGCCTTATCGCTTCGCACTCCACTCTGGCATCTGGGTCTCTCGCTCATTCTGCTCCGCTCCTCGGGGGAAATCATGGCTCCTGCTTCACTGCTCTTCAACAACAAGTGGAACATTTAATTTTTTATCTTATATTTCTAATGGGCGGCGATTCAGAGAAGTTAAATACAGATTAAAGCACAGAAAGCAACAGCTCCAGTCTTCACGATGCAGGTAAGTCATTCAACCAGCCAAACTGTGTATGAATAATCAAGTTGTTTTTTTTGCTATGTGAAGTTAAGTTATGTTTAAAAAAAAGAGTTTTAGATTAATCAATTCTTGTAACTTGTAACTTGTGCAATTTTGTGATCGCCTGTAGATCCTGGATTTCAATGCACCAGCACTGTCCCAGCTCTAAAAACAGAAATGCAATGTCCAAAAGTGTTACTGTGGCTCTCAAATGGTGGTACTTGTATTTTCTCTGGTGGGAGGCCTACTTTAGAGTATTTTGCATATTTTTGACCTGGTTAAAACCGGTTTTGTGTCCCTGCTGATTTAGTAACCAACACAAAATGTAATGTATTATGATGTAACCCAATATTCAATAAGTTTTCCCTAATTTTACTCTCTTTAAAAAGCTCTAAAACACATATTAGGGCTGAAACATGTGAGAAAATATATTGATTTATCCATCAAGCACTGCAATTGTGGTTAGATAAAAATTTTGTGTTTTCTCCATGGTATGCTGTATAGAGGTCACATTTTAAACACGCCCAAAAGAACTGACAAAAAGACTGAAATATGAACTGATGAACCAATAAAAGAGTCAGATCTTACAACATGCTTGTACAGGTCTAAACTACGGGCTTATCATTTTTTTATGCAGAAAAAGACATGCAAGTCACATTTATCTGTTTTTTACGGCTTTAAAATTCTGCACATGCCACATTTTCTCACTAGAAAAGGCAGAATAATAAAAAAAATATTTTACATAACACCAGTTATGCAAAAAATAAAGTAAAGTAATAATTAAGTAATTATATAGTTACAGTAATAGTAATTGTGAGTAATTATTGGCAAGTCTTAAGAATATGGTATGCACATACATTTGGACACTTGAGTTCATTGGGTTCATGCAGGAAATTTTGATCTGAGTCACCTTTTATTTTCAATTGTGAACAGCCTAGAGTCTCTAAAAGTTTTTTTTTTTAATTATTATTATCATTATGGTTTCAGAATCTGTATTGAGTATTGAGTCTATTCCTTAGCATGGTAATTGAGTTTGAAATTTGAGTACTGTGACATTACTAGATCATCCTCTCCAAAAGACTAAATACTTACTAAAAGGTAGTATTTTGCTGACTCAGAGCAGCTGTTCCAAAGACCGTAAATATGAGGTTTCAAAATGTAGATAAGCTCATAATAGGAGCCTGAAGGTGCAACAGTTTACTTTGTTTAAACAAGTTTGTAGCTAATTTGTTCAGGGAAAGGCTGTTTCTTTCTCTCTGTTGATATATTAACTTTAGGTGGTAGTTTTAGTGCTGGGTATTATATTTCTGTTTACTGACTGTTATATTATGTTTACTGACAGTTTACACTAAAATAATTGCAAATAGATCCCCAACAGTCTCATAATACAAACACTATTTCCTTTCAGTGGTGTAACTGCTTGAACTACTTATAATGGTAAATAAATGTGCTTAATTTTAGACAGAAAGACAAAAACAGGCCATTTTGTTGATTGATTGTTGATTCTTACAGATAAGTCCCTAAAGAAACTAATAGCCTAAACTTGGTCTTCCCAAACTTTAGGTTTAGTCCAATGACCATTCAAAATGGCAATGTTACAAAAAAAAAAAATCATCACAGGAAGTAGTGTTGGATATTCAGTTAGATTTCTTTAAAGTCTTGGAAAAAATATGATGCATATATGTGTGCCAAGATACACCACTTTCTTAGGAGATTAGGAAGTTTGGAGTCAGCAAAAACAATATGTTATGTCTGACTCTGACTGCTCCACAGAGCATCTCTCAAGAGTCAGCTGTGAGACAGACTCTGAAGATCCTCAGAGATCTCTCTCACACAGTATGAGCTCCTGCAGACTGGGAGAAAAGCTCATTTGGACCCCAGTCCATAAAATGTATTAACAACATGGACTAACTGTGTAGATGTGTGCAGCTTTCGTGACTGTATATTGTCCAGTTTGTTTTTCTTGTGTCTTTTGTTATGTCATGTCTGTATGTTAATCCTCCTGACTCATGCTCTGAGACTAATTTCTCCATGAGAGGATGAAAATAAATGAAAACCTGAAAACTTGAAAACCTGAAGATGAACATGTGGTTAGAGAAAGGACTTGTACTAGTTTAGTGTGAAAAGGAATACCAAATGATCTTCTGAGCATGTTAAAGCATAATTTGCCCACTTTGCTTATGAAGAGGTAACTTAAAGGTACAGTATGTAACTTTCTGGAAGTGACTACTGCATGGTTCCATGGAAAATAGAAAGTTAAAATCACTACTCGGAGTATTCTCCATGGAGATAGGTAAGTTTTAAGCCATAAAGCCATTCCTAAAGGTTACACACTGTATCTTTACTGTGAGTTCATATTTGATTGGTTGTGTGTCGTGGTGGGTTAGTTCGTTAATACCCAATACTCATACAAAATGGTTCATATTTGTCACAGTGAAAAGAAAAGAGACTGGATGTGTCTTCTCAATGGGCTGCCTGTGTCTTTAGACAGAGCCACTTTCTCATCCCGTCCACAGCTGTGCTCCTGTGTCCACTGTCCACTCCAGTCCAGCTGACACAGGGTTAATGTGGGACAATGCCTCTTGTACCAGTGCCCTGATTGGCTCTCAGATAACCATCACCGGACTTACATTCCTGCCATTTTTCAACCAGCCTAAATGATAACACAGGAGACTGCGGGCCTAGTGTATGAAGGCTTATCCAGTGAGAGGACGGCCAAAGTCTGCCCCACGTCGAGTTATTTTAAGGGAATGAAGGATATATTGGTTTCAACATTGGGACTGGCCAATCTGCAGATATTTGGCACCAATATTTTTCCAATGTTCCCCAGTCTCAGTCTGTTATTCCCAGTTTGTCCTCAGTGCATCAGCTTTGTCTTTTTGAACAAACTACTGAGTACAAAGACAATAAAGCAGTGAGGCCTGTGCACAACCGCACTCTTCTACTTCTTGTTCTCTTTCATCCCTGTGGTTTTTGCTGAAGCGTGCCAAAATATAAATACATGTTTAAAGATGCAGCCATGAACAGGGAGCTGTGTGTGTTGATGTTACTGACAGTGTCTTAAAAAGTCCACAAATAAAATGAATACTTCAGCAGAGGACACTTCTGTGTTTAGAAAGAGAGATGTTTGTGTCTAAGTGCTAATGCTAATGTTGAGGCATAATAATATTTTTTTCCCGGGACTGTCCCAGTTTTGAGCCCTTTGTCCCAGGAGATTTGTCCCAGTTTTATACAAGAAATGTCTCTGGTGTCGCTATCTTTTTACCAATTTGATCTAAACCAGTTCTAAACCAGGACTATCACAATTTTTGACTAACCTGATCCTCACCAACAGTAAAAGTATTAATTGTCATTTGTTTAGCCAAAATACAGAAAACCATGTTTGCAAATAACCATTAAGCAAAACAACAACAACAAAAAAAGTGCTGTCAAGAAGTTCCTCAGATTATGACACGATGACACGAGAATGCTCAATGTTACACGCTGTTGTCACTATTTTATTTTCAGCAATCATCCCAGCTCAGGTGTGTCCCAGTTTGGAATTTAAAAAATCTTCCCAATAAATATTAAGACAATGCCTTTAATTGAAGTGAATTGTACATAAATAATTGGGTAGTCTTTATTTTAATCAATTTGAATTTGAATAGGGTGTTTATTTTATGTTTTACAATGTTGATAAAAGTCTATTGTAATGATTTTGTTTTTGCAGATGACCTTTGACTCGTCGAGCAGTGTGACTCTGCTCTTTGACTTCTGGAAGGTGCATGGAGTGGGAGGTAGGCTATATGTTCTCATCTGTACCATGGATCTGTAATAAGAACTTCTTATTATACTTCAATGATCTGTACACAAACCCTTTACTAGGGCTGTGCTCAAATATCCAAATATCAATATATCCAAATGCATATAGTTAGGGTGACCATTTGTCTGGATTTTGGCTGGACAGTCCGGTTTTAGAGCCTTCTGTCCGGATCTCTGTTATGCATCTTCATTTTTGACATTTTGTCCTCATTTCCTTGGCTGCCACCGTTGCACGAATCACCACAAATCCCCCCCCATATTGCACCTGCGATCCTGCGATAGCAATGTTTGAAACTGTTCACTGTTGAACAAAAGCAAATGCCAAAAAGGAAGACGTCCTTCAAACATGCCTGGTGCTCAGAGCATCGTTTTGTGAGTAAGAGCACTAAAGGAGAACACTATGCCTTCTGTAAGCTCTGCTGCGTTGACAATAATGTGAGTAGCTGAGGTAAAGGTGTGTTAGAGCGACACACTCCTGTAGCGATGCATGTATGTTACTCAAATAAATAACATTGCTCTATTTATAATTTATGTCTCTCTTTTTTAAAATTTTTATCTTCATGATTATTTATGTTTTGATTTGTTTTTATTATGATTTTAATGTATTTCTTATTCTGTAAAGCACTTTGAATTACTTTGTGTACGAATTGTGCTATACAAATAAACTTGCCTTGCCTTGCCTCTAAAATGATATTGTCTTCATCATGTAGTTGATGTGATACATAATCATCTTGCTTGTCTTGAATAATAATAATAATGATAATAATAATAATCAGTGTTGGGGAGTAACAGATTACATGTACCGGAGTTACGAAATCAGAGTACAAATTATGAGTAACTGTATTCGGTTACAGTTACTGTTTCAATGGATTACACGGCGGTATTTTCCTGTTTTCACATTTTGGGCTATATCCCTTTTTTTTTTTTCTCGGTAATTCCACTCATTGCCGGACACTAAACCACGTCTACAACCAGGTCCAAACCAGGTCCAAACCAGGACTTAACCAGGACTAAAGCAGGACTAAAGCAGGACTAAAGCAGGACTGAAATGAGGTCTAAACCAGGACTAAAACCAGGACTAAAACCAGGACTTAAACCAGGACTTAAACCAGGACTTAAACCAGGACTAAACCAGGAATAAACCAGGACTAAACCAGGTCTAAAACAGGATTTAACAGGACTAAATCGTGCTGCGCGGACCGTGTTTCTGTCTTCTATCAATAATATTTTTAATTTGGTTAAGTAAAGTCTGGGCTTTTCATTGTCTTTTAACAGACAAAACTTCTTTTGTGAAGATTTCCTCGTCTTTGCTTCTTTACAGCAAATCAAGTAATCCAAAGTATTCAGATTACATTACTCACTTTAAGTAATTTAATGGATTATGTTACAAACTACATTTTGGGGTATGTAATCTGTAGGGGAATACATTTTAAAAGTCACCTTCCTAACACTGATAATAATAATAAGCGGTTGTATAGGGCTGTTTTTAGCCATTTTGTGGTTGAACCCGGTTTCTGGTAGTGTCCTCACTTTTGGGCCTTTGTCCTCACTTTTGGGCCTTTGTCCTCACTTTTGGGCCCAAGTGTCCTAATTTTCAGAGTCATGCTGGTGATCACCCTGCATACAGTGCTTGTGTTTGACGCTCGTGGATCATTGTGTTATCATTTGGACATTTTAAACTGCGTTAGAAAAATGTGCCGTAAATGTAATCAAAACAAAGAGTTGACAACTCAACAAGAATGGCTGCAGATCACAGTAGCGAGTCGCAGATTCCTTTTCATTTGTGCCAAAATGAATTACACAACTGTGCCGAATCCTACGTCTGTCACTGATTAAGAAAATAAAACTGGAGCACAAAGTGAGTATGTTACAGTGGGCGTGTACTGGTGGAGGTGAAAACAGGGTCTGATTGCCAATGTAGCATCTTGAAAATAAGTGATTAAAGATTCAAACATGCACAAATCACTCCAAATACAACTTAGAAATGGAAAAGAAACAACTACAACATGATCAAAAGCTCTGAAAAGTCCATTTTGCAGAATAGGTCTGTTTTATAGAGTGGTATTCAGATTTGAAGTCAACCAAAGACTGAAATGTGCTAAAAACTGAGCTGGAGACAGATCTAGGAAGAGGTTAAGTTATGTTTTTTCTTAACCAAATCTTATTCGTTGCTTTTTTGTTGCGAAGTGGCTTATTGAACAAGAGCCAATGTTGAACTGAGGCAAAGTCACATCTTAAAAATGTGGCTAACAACAACTAGTTCAATGAAAACATTTTGCAAAGTTTGTCTAAAAGTTCTTCCTCACTTACCTTATGCATTCTGAACATATCTTGTGCAGGTTTCAGATGCTTGGATTGAATAACCATTGTTGAATCACACTAAATACACAGTACAATCATCTGTACAGATCTAAAAACTAAAATGTAACTGCACGTGTATCAGGCATGTGCTTTTTTGTTTTCTCTTTTATGATTTTGTTTTTACAGACCGTTCGTGGGGCTGGACATTATGTTTTTGCACACCAGGCTGAAGTTTTTAATCAGATACTTTTAGAATTGTGTAAAAACGTGGACTGAATCACAAACTGATGATGATTTTTTTTGCAGACGATGGTCTTTGGACTCTGTTACTGTTTTCTATGAATTTGTTAATCTGTCTCTTATTTGTGACTATTTGATTTGTGAAGTCCTGTGAGGCGGGATTTTAGGCTATATAAAAATACATTAGATTGAATGAAAAATAAACTTAAATCTCACTATTTAATAAAAAAAAAAAAAAAGTCACCTCTGTAACTGCTGCTTGTCATTTTGGTTCCACTCAACATGATCCTTGTTATTTTTATTTCACTATTTTGTCTGTGATTTAAGATATGAACATTAATAACAGATCAGACGACGACGACTAGGACATCTACGACTATGACTACTACGACGACTACTATGACTACGAATACGACGACTGTGACTACTACGACAACTACTATGACTACGACTATGACGACTGTGACTACTACGACAACTACTATGACTACGACTATGACGACTGTGACTACTACGACAACTACTATGACTACGACTACGACAACTACTATGACTACGACTACGACGACTATGACAACTACGACTACTACGACAACTACTATGACTACGACTACGACAACTACTATGACTACGACTACGACGACTATGACAACTACGACTACTACGACAACTACTATGACTACGACTACGACTACTATGACGACTACGACAACTACTATGACTACGACTACGACGACTAGGACGACTACGACTACTACGACAACGACTATGAGTACTACTATTGTACATCAGACTTACATAGCGCTTTTTTGGACACTCAAAGACACTTTACAAACAAATAAAAAGTGGTGCTGTAGAAAACGGGGGAATCATGGGTTAACTGCAGATTGATTGAAGTGCAGCAGTGAATCCAAGTTCCTGATGGATTGTGGGAGTGAGTTCCAGAGGGACGGGGAGCGGTAGCGGCGAAGGCTCGGTCATCCAAGGTCCGGTGGTTTGAGGGAGTGAGGAGATTGGTGTCGGCTGATCTGAGGCAGCGGGTGTGACAGTGACTATCTTGTTTCCCAGAGGTTGCACAGATCTGACAGTGCCAGTGGTACAGGTGGGAAGGGATCAACGGCCTAATTCCTGATTGGCTCTATGGTTGCTATGACACTGTCTATGGGTGGGGTCATTATTTAACTTTGATTATACCGGTATCAATTACAAGTTTGGTATCCATGGTTACAGGCTTGGTTATGTTGTGTGTTTGATGTAAAAGGCCGTCTCTGTCTGGTTCGTGTCTCAGGTATGCTGCTGTCCGTGCTGGTGGTCTTCCTCCTCACACTGTTCTACGAAGTCCTCAAAGTGTCCAGGGTGTGGCTGGATCATCGCTTTAAGAGGACAGCGCCCCCTCCTGGAGACACAAGTCTGAAACTAGAGGGCAGCCAATCAATATCATCCCTGACCCCCATCGCGTCCACACAGCCCATTCCCCCTCTCAGCACCAAGCAGAGGTCAGTGTGTAGGCCCACAGTGTACAGAGGGTGTGCTGTAGTGTTAGTACTAGACACAAAGTCGCTAAAGTCACTGAGGGCGTTCACCTTGTGCAGGTTTCAGATATATGGATTGAATAACCATTGTGGAATCACACTAAATACACAGTGCAATCACCTGTAAAGATCTAAAAACTAAAATGTAACTGCACATGTGTATGAGGCATGTGTTTTTGTGCAGATTGGCACAGACATAAACGCCATTCATTCATCACGCCTTTCAAATGCTTTACTAGTAGCATTTGGATAATTTTGGTGATGGAATGGCTGATTTCTACAGAATAAAAGCTAAAGGGGTAGCTGTTACCTTGAAAATGACTGCTTCATGACCATAGACTGTACAAAAGAAGTGGACTAAGTGAGTGTGATGTCACCCACAGCGTTCAGCGCCGCTCAAAGGGCTCGCGATGCTCACGGTTACAGAGTGAATCTGGAGCCAGGCTCTATGTCAGGGGTCTCTGACCTTTTTCCTCCGATGAGCTACTTTTACAAAACAAAAATGCAGAGAGCTACTAGTTTTAGCAGTCACAAGATTGTTAAGATTATATATAAGAGGCACGGCGAGCTTTAGATGATGTTAAAACTGCCTATAGAGCAAAAGAACATATCGCCTATTAGTGTACAAAATGAGGCATCAAAATAATTTGTGTACAATGGTAATAGGCATTTAATTAATCAGATTTTACATATTCAGCAACAATATGTGTAATTCAGAAATCCTTTGGCGAGCTACTTGGAAGGGGGTGGAGATCTACCGGTAGCTCCCGAAACTTCTGCTCTATGTTATGAATAGAATTTTTTTGATGCAGATGATAGCATAAAAAAAAATTCAGGATCATGTGTCGCAGGTTAATATGAACATTTTAACACCAAAATAACGAGGCTGGAGTTACAGAGAGAGGGATGACAAGATCCCAGTGTAAGTCAGTTGGAGCCAGAGTCAGAAGGAACCGGAAGAACCTCCTGGAGAACTTCCTATTTGGCACATGGCGGCTACAGTATTAGAGATGTCCACTCATATATACGGTCTGTGTTCATGACACACTACAAAACATGTGTTTTTGATGAGGTAACAACATTCTAACATGACTTAAAGCTCACAAGAGTCAATTTTGTGTAATATAGGACCTTTAAACACAGTGACGCTTCTACATCGATGAATGATATTCAAATAGTCTCTACTTTCTCTTCACATGAACACAGCGACTATGTTTCTGCAAATTCCTTGTATATTTTGTGATTTTGACTGACTGCTCCTTGTGTGCCAAGTGTGTCAAGTGTGTCAAGTGTCCCGGCTGAATCTCAAACAAATAAAGATAAGGTTCAGCATTTGTGAATTTGTGAAACTAAACCCGTCACAGCAGCCAACATTTAACATTTAGGAGGCTGTTGTGAAACTGTTCTACAAAGTCTGACAGCGTCTTGCTCTGACCAGTTTTGACAAAATTGACTTTATTTTCGAGTGCTTTGCTTTAACCAAGACCGATCCCTCCCTCCTTCATTCATTCATTCATGTTTGTGTCTCCTCTGCAGAGTGCTCCTCCACAGTGCCCAGGCTGGTCTCCACACGGTGCAGGTGGCTCTGGGGTACATGCTCATGCTCTGTGTCATGTCCTATAACACGTGGATCTTCTTGGCTGTGGTCTTCGGCGCCGTGCTGGGGTACTTCTTCCTCTTCCCCCTCTTCTCCTTCATGTCCGAGCAGCACACCATGTGACTATGCCGGACAAACAGAGGACATCTTTTTTGGAAGTTCAGGACAAACTGGAAATGCAGAGCTGTGTTTTTGGTGACATGCTTTGTGTTGTTTTACTTTATGCTTAGATAAGAGACTTGAACTTCATTTATATTCATGTTAAAGAAGCACCGTGTAACTTTTCTTATGGAGGGGGTGCAATCTACTTTATACTTTATGCTTGGGTAGGAGTTATGAAGTGGACTTACCAGTGTTAAAGAATAGAGATGCACCCATCCAATACAAATTTCAGAAATCGGCTTCCAAATATGGTTTAAGCTTCAGCCGATTTCGTGGCTGGACATATCTTTTATTTTTTTTATTTACTGGTACTAGTCAGTCCAGAAAGTCTCGGATTGTTTTAATTTTTATTTATACAAAACTACATAAGTCACTTACAAGATAAATAACAGCTACATCAACACATCAGGAGCAGTTTTGTCTTATTTAATTTTTTTATTAGGTAAATGCTTTGGTCAGTCTCTGAACTGGTATCGTTTGATATCGGGTATGGGCAGATACTTCATTAGTTTACTCATGCTTTCATTGCTTAAAAAGTCAATGAAAACCACTGAGAGATTTACTGAGAGTGGGCTTGTTTCGCCACAGATCTGATCTATAATAGCGTCATCTGCTTGTGTCATTCTTTGGAACATTCTAGGCAAAGCAATAACATTTCCATGGAAACAAGTTTGACCCTCCACCAGAGAAGTTCCATAGTGTACCTTTAAGTAATGTAGTGGTCAATTCCACCCAAACCTCTGATTTGTTTGGTCTTCATTTACGTTGCAAATGAGCATTTCCTTTTTAGCATATAGTGTGTGTGTCTTAATCTAACACTAACATGACTGTAATCAATGGTGACTGTTTATTTTGCAATAATTTCATCTGCACTACACGTTTGTTTCAATGTTTAATCTGAACTGGTCAAGGGTTCTTAAATGTGATCTCAGTTGTCAGACACTTTGACTGTTGGTGCTGTCCACATGGACGATCAGGGTCCAAAGTGGGATCTTAAAGGAACTGTATGTAAGGTTTTGATTTAAAATTTCATAAACATGGCCTGTGGTGTCCCGAACAACAACAAACAAATGCTGCATCCTGCTTACAGTCAAACACATTTCTAAGAGAAATCTATTTTGTAAGATGAGGTTGGTTGGTTTGTTGATTTAACAGTTAATTTGTGCTGAGTTAATTTTGCAGACTATAACAGTCATCATTTTGTTAAGGAAGACTTACTATGTAAGTAGTTAATGAGGACTGTGGTTGATTGAATCTTTAATACTAAAACTAAATAAACTGTCTTGTTAAAATAAACCTTGTTCTTTCCTTAAAGTGGTTCAGTTGTTTCTTCAGCAGATTGGTTTATTGTTGTACAGATTTCAGGTCAGTACTTCTGCTCTTCACGTGTAGCTCTTCCTCATTGTGCTCACCACTGTGTTCTGTGACTGTCACACGCTCTCTTCACTTCCTCACACCCTGACTGTGCATTTCAGTCAGCTGGTTCACCACAATCATTTACTAACCACTAACCACTACTCCTGCCACTGCCCAATACTCTGCTTTTCATTGACTCTTATGTCATTTCAGTTTGTGATGTGTAAAAATGTGCCAAAATAAAGCTGTTTTTGAAAATGTTTTATTCAGATTTTTTTAACCATTTATTTAAATTGCATGTTACGTTTTTAGCACTGTAGCATTAATGAATAACAATTTTGCATATGAACACAGGCTTGAACAGGAAAATCCAGTTCACTTCTTCATAATGAATATGACTAATGAGAACACCCTAAGCAAGACATACAGTACAATGCAATACCTATTCAACAGATAGATTCAGTATCTAGTTGTATACCTTATGAAAGTCAAGACAACACAAAAAACTCACTTTCAAATTAAATAAACATCTTAAATAGAAACACAGATAATATTATAAAGAACAAATATCAGTAACAGATAATGAGCTTTTCCTGTCTCCTCACCTCTATATGCAGCTCATATGATTACATGGTTGCAAACAGAAGATCATATTACAGAAGAAGAGCTTCATAAGCGTAATAGTTTTGGACGGTTGAACAGATTCCACCAAACCAATGAGGCCCCCTGCTGGTCAGGCTCAGATATTACATAAGCACATACATAAAGTCACACTCTCATGTCCTTTGTACTTTACTCTGGTCCAGGATCTGCAGCTGTAAAACTCAAACTTTCCTTCTTTGTCATGTGGAAACAAACATTATAGAGATTCACTGATCCAGCGTTTTCACTTCCCTTATTCATATTGATACTTTCACGTAACCAATACCAGTGTACAGATGGAAAATGGCTTTTATTTCCTTAAAAAACAGTTACTTTATTACACAATTTATACACAAGAGATCCAACTGTGTTATCCAGCTGTTATTTATTCTTCAAATGAGTACTGGCCCGCTTTCTGTGAATAAAGGTCAAACATTGAGACGTTCCAGGACAAAATCTGCCAGTAAATAGTCTCATTAAATCCAATTAAAGGTCCAAACAGGATATTGCCCGAACCAAAATAATGGAGCTGATACACAATCCTACTAATTTTTCAGTTTTAGGGCCGATATTTAACACCAGTATCAGTATTGGTGCATCCCTATCAAATATTCAGTACTTTGACCAATTCATTTTTTTAGAAAACATCACATCATAAAACTGAACAGGTTTTTTTTCAGATTATAAGTGGCACTTTTTTCATGGTTTGGGTGTTTCTGTGACTTATATTCAGGTACAACTTATATATTAAAATGTTCACACTGACAGGCACAAGAGGCTCTCGTCTTGTGTGTGAGTATCTGCTGCTCCTGTTCCTCCTGTACCACTGTCAATTCACTCTACTGCACATGTCTCCTGCAGAAAGAGCCTCTGTCCTGCTGCAAGTCGTGAAATCTGCAGCCGAAAACAATAATCGAGCAGCAGAAAGAAAGTCTGGACTAAGCAAGAAACTTGTGAAGGACTGGTGCAAAGCGGGGATGAAGAACACAGCTTCACGGTAACAAGGCGGGTGCACCATGAAACTTTCCTGAAGTCACTGGATGGATGGACAAAGTCTGGACTTCAGTGACACCGAAACCATCCTGTCGAGATTCAGAAAGACCCGAATAATTCTAACTGGAACTGATGCTGAGTCTGACAACAGCTAAACCGAAGAGGAAGCGGCGCTCTGTTTACCTCCAGAGGTCGAGGAGTTGTTCAGAAGTGACACCGAGGATGAAGAACTGAATGGATTTAGTGATTTGGAGTGAGATGGAGAGTTTGGTAAACTTGTTCTGTTCTGTTGTTTATGTTATAGTTTATCTGAAGAACTGTTCATATGTGACGTTAACAGTCTGTTGTTCTCTCTTCTATTGTTATTACTACAACTTGACTTTCTACAGGAAATGTCGGTTCTTGGTCTCTGATTTTTTTTTTCTTCTTCATTACGCATTTTTTGGCTGGTGTGACTTATACTCCGGAGCAACTTATAGTCTGAAAAATACGGTAATTATATTGTATTTAATAAAAATCACCTCCGCCTCTCTCATCTGGTCCATCCATCCTTGCAATAGCTCTCAGGCTTGTGGACGAATCTGTTCCAGTTAAATGCAGAGAACATCACTCAGTTTTCTCTGCATCATCACAAGCACCAGTGCTTTTAGTGCTTTCCTTTTTTTTCCTGCTGATTCAGCTCAAGTCTGCACCATTCCTCTGTTCTCCGGTGTCCAGAAGGTGCAGAGAGTCGTCCAAGCATCAAACCCGTCAGTCATTACAGCACGCTCTCACACAGGCCTTTTCACACATACATCATTTAAAGCTATAAAACGTGACATACTAGATCCAACCGTGTCCAAAAACATTAAAAAAAGAACCAGCACGATAACGTCTCCTTTAACCTCCCACTGTCTACATCAGAACCACCTCCACATCCGCCAGCTCCACCTGTCCGTTCACGACCGGCCGGGGACCCGAGCTCTCTGGCCTCTCATTGGTCGGTGACTGGAAGCCGCTGTCATCGTGGGAGCTGTAGTCCGAAGCCTGGAGCCTCAGGGGCTGGGCCGGGGCTAGATCTGAGTCACTGTCTTCCTCATCCTGGACGGCTATCTCCAGCTCGTGGATCGCGCTTTTGATCGCCGCCTCCTCCTCCTGTCTTTTACTTCCCATGAGCCTCTGCAGCAAACTGTGTGGCGACTTTTTACTTTCGCTTTCACTTTCGCTTTCAATTTTGCTTTCAGTTTTAGATTCAATAAAGTTTTCAATTTGCGGAGTTGTGTCTACGTTTTCGAGATTTAACTTCTCCTCGATCTTTGGGAACGTTTTGCTGATCGGCGACGCCTGTTTTTGCTCTTCAATTTCTCCGTTGTTTCGGATTTTGATGGAACTCCGTGGGACTTTTTCGAGCATTGTGGTCACATGAGTCACCTCTTCTTTTATGCCGTCCTCCATAACCACCAGCCCCGTCTTAGACTCCGTCCCGCTGGTCACCTCCTCCCCGTCGGACACGGGCCGAACCACCTGCACCACCGGGTTGATCAGGTCCCGGATCTGGTTGACGCTGTCCGGGGACTTGATCTCCTCCTCCAGGCTGGATAAGCTGTCGTCCTCTTCCGGGATGAGGTCCACACCGGGCACCTCCAGGCAGGACTCGTACGGCAGTGGGACCCCCTCCAGCTGGATCATGGACACCACTTGACGGCGATTGTTGCCTGAATTGGACCCTCGGCCTGCGCTCCGGAGCTGGGGGGCTGTGGCGGGAGAGTCAGCTGATTCAGAAGGTGAAGGTTCCTCTTGTTCCTGAACCAAAAACTTTGATCTCCAGTCCACAGTGTCATCTTGTCCCAGCAGGTCCAGGTTGGGGTCGCTGTTGGTCAGGACGATGCTGTCTCTGTACAGGTTGTGTTTCCTCTGGACGGCTGCTTCTTTCACAGCTGCAGGAGAGAGAAAAGGAGGGACAAGTAAGAATGGACAGACTTAAAGCAGACATGTCAAACTCAGGTCCGGGGGCCAAATTTGGCCTACAATATAATTATATTTGGCCCACGAGATCATATCAAACTTTTATTAGAGCTGCCCGCCGGCTACAGAGCTACAGGCTACAGGCTATAGACATTATTTATTTCAAATTTTGTTATTCTTTTATTCTGCCTGTTCTGGATTCAGTGTTTAAGCAAAACTATTATAAAACATTTATTTTAATAAGAAAAGGTTTAGCATGACATATCTTGAAAGAAGAGAAAACATGAAGATGCTGTTGAAATTCTTTTTAATAAATATATTGTTTGGCCCACAACTTCGTCCCAGTTTTTAATTTTGGCCTCTGTGAATTTGAGTTTGACACTCCTGACTTAAAGCTTCAGAATAAACCAAAAAGGACAAATGAAGAGTTCATTTAATGTATCTGCAAAAACAGATATCTGTTTTGAAAAATAGTCAAAAAATGTGTTTATTTTTGTTTACATTTTCAACACATTTGATCAATGACAATAATGTAAAGTGTCTTGTCAAGGAGGGGAGGAATTATATTTAGATGGTAGTAACATTTTTGAAAACATTTCTATACAAAGAGTAAACTGCAAGCTTCTGATCACTTTAAAATGTCACTTATTTGTTTTTGCAAATTAACTCTTCAAATATACTCCCAGCCATATGGAGCCCTGGCCAGACCCAAGGATACATGCTTTTCCTTTTCTATACACATATGTAGTGTGGGAGAGGGATACACCAGTACTGGTCAAGTATCCTCAAACACACCACAAACACTTTTCACACCAGTACTACCTATGAATAGATCTGACCTTCAGAGTAACACTAGATCTAAACAAGGGCTAAAATCTATTTAAAACAAGATTTAAACAAGAAATAACTCAAAGCAAGACAAAAAAGTGGACTAAATGGACTGAAGTTAAACACATGACAGAACTGGAGAAGAATCTGTCTCATACAATGTCCTAGAGTTTCAGACGGGGTGGAACCAAGTCGTTGTTTTGCAAGTCTCAAGTAAATCTCAAGTCTTTGACCTCAAGTCCGAGTCAAGTCCCAAGTCAAAGACAGTCGAGTCTCGAGTCACTGGCCCATAAGTCCAAGTCAAGTCCAAGTCGTCTGCTTTGAGCTTCAAGTCATTTCAAGTCTTTAAATAAAGTACCAAATACAGCCTGTATTTTAGCAATTTATGTGAATTTTAAAATAATTGTATTTGGTTATGGTGTATTTCTATATGAGTATTTATACAGAAATGCATTTTATTTCCTTTTTAAATGTCTTGACAAGATCTTTGTGTGAATTGTTAAGGTCAGAATAGAAAGAATGAAGATTTAAAAGTGCTAAATAACAGTTATTTTTTCATGAAGAATCATGTTCTATGAAGTTCCCTCTGTTTTACTGTATTGTACTGTATATTACTGGAGTACATTTGAGGATACCACATCACAGTACTTCAGTTCCATCCAAAGTACCAAACAGAAGTGGGAGGGACACGTTCCAGTTTGTTTCTGTAAAATTCAGCACCACATTTATCAATTCTAAAGAGAAAAGTATATTATAAAAACATTTTTTTTAGGAGAAGAATCAAGTCTTCTCAAGTCACAGGCCTCAAGTCTGAGTCAAGTCCCAAGTCTTAGTCCATTTTATCAAGTCAAGTCTCAAGTCCTAAAAATAGTGACTCAAGTCTGACTTGAGTCCAAGTCCCAACCTCTGGTTTCAGAAACACTCCATCTGAGTTTGTGTTGGCTCAGTACAGATTTATTGTGTAATCTAGAGTGAACACACAGCATGCTGGCTGCTATGGGGATGTGTAAATAAATAAAACAGAAGGAAACATGCACTGACCTGACATGATGTCTTTGGACACAGACTGAATGACCACCTCCTCGTACAGGTTCTCCACCAACAGGAACCTGGAGAAGTCCTCAAAGATGAGCTCCTGGAAGCGAGGCAGCTCCTGAGGGAGCAGACAGAGCAATGCACTGTTCATACAAACTGTAAACTATAAATACTGTTTGAAGTTAAAAAGTCTAAATCAGCTACAGCTCATAAAACATGACTTGAATTTTGTCTTAAAGGGAAAGTCTTGACTCATTTTGAGTAACCAATTCTACTCTCTCTCTCTTCCAGGAGTATTATTTTTATTTGGATAAAAACATATCAGTGATGTACATTTTTCTATTTTCCTTATCTTCCCCACTGGCACTGTTCATTTAATAAGTCAGCGTGATAATAAACAGGCATTATTAATTACAGTTTATTAAACTAATAAAACATATTCATTAATCTAATAATGTTTGCTCACTGGTGCACAGGAAGGCGCCAGCTGCTGCAGCATGTAGGGCACGATGATCTGAAGAAGAGCCTCTCTGAAGAACTTCTTCCTCACCGTACTGCTGTCGTAGTCAAACTTCTGCAACACAAAACAACAACACCTCAGACAAGAGTCAAGACTACGGATGTTTTTCAATTCTCAGGATCCTTCCTCTAAAGACTCTTGTAGCACTCCTCCTGAGTCGACTCCTGTGAAGCAGAGCCGAGTGTCCTGCTCACAGCTCCTGGAGTGCACATGGAACAGGCTCTGGAGGGAGCGACTGTCCAGTGTCACGTGACCAGATTAAACGTGACAAAACTCTGAGTGTTAATAATCAATGCTTCTAAAGATATTCAGGAGAGTTTTTATGTGTCACATGCATTCAAACGTGAATAATAAAGACTGAGTGAATCATCTGTTATTGAGTTATTTAGGCGGATCATCAGCCTAAATAATTAAATACACAGGCTGAAATATTTTCAAATGACAGGCTAATTGTATTCCCAGTCCCCCTCTTTAAGAGATTTAGCTGCATTTGTCTTGATTTGAATCTGTTGGATCTGATAATAGCGTCATTTGCAGCAATGTGACAGCAAAATGTTTACTTCTTTTTATTGTAGAATTAATTTTATTTTATTAAAATGCATTTTTCTGCTTAAATAAAGTTTGTAAAAAATGAAGTTGCAGTGCACTGTCGGCAATTTCAAGTCCTCCGAGGTAGCCAAGGATACACAGGTGCATCCTTGGTGAAAGAGCCAAACAGAGGAGTGGAGTGTGGAGGGTGTGAGGGTTTTGGGGGAACTGGAACAGCACTTGGTTTAGTTCTGATGACGTGGATCTGTCCAAAGTGGTTTAGAAGCCAAGAATCCTGGCAACTGGGAAACACCCTGTATGTCCTTTTACTAGTACTGACTTCAGCCTCAGACTAATAAACGAGGCACTAACTATAAGAGAATAGCTCCATCTTTTGGCTGTCTCTGAGAACTGCGTGTGAGTGAAATACATCTGCACATCCACAACAAGGCTTCATATGCAGAGGTCACATGATCTCATCTAGTGTCAGAAAGCTTGATCTCAGTCATAGGTCATGGGTCTTCCAACAGGACAATGACCCAAAACCCTCAAGAATGGCTAAGAACAAAACTGTTCCGGAGTGTTCTTCTGTGAGCCCAAATCTCAATCCTACTGAACATCTGTGGAAGCAGCTGCAACATGCGTCTGGAGAAAACACCCTTCAAACCCTGAGATAGCTAGAACAGTTTGCTCACGAGAAGTGGGTCAAAATACCTTTTGACCAGAGCAGAAGTCTCATTGACACTTACAGAAATCATTTGTTTGCAGAGTTTGCCTCAAAAGGTTGAGCAGCAAAATATTAAATTAAGGTACCATCATTTTTGTAAAGGCCAGTTTGATTTACGTAGGACCATATTCAGTATTTTTTTATTTATTATTGCTTTTATCAATTTCAAATTATTTCAGTGATGATTGTTGATTTTTCTTTCATTACCAGAGGGGAAGCAACAATTTTGTCCATGTCTGTATATTACTAAGTTCAGTGTCCACACCAAAGACTACATGAAGGTATGAAAGAAGAAACACAAACGTCTTTTCTGTCATTATTAGTGTGTTTTTTAGTGTCTGAAGAGCCTCCACAGTCTGTATTAAATCTGCTCTGAGCGGCTGCTTGCATCTACAGGTCATTCAGGAAAATACAGAGTGATATCGAATCAGTGATTTAGTCTGAGCACTCACCGATACCTGAAAAATGTGCAGTAGCAGAGCTTTTGCAGACACTGGTATCAGTATCAGAACAACCAAAGTCTCAACCAAAGATTCATTTAAGCAAAGAGACTTATAATTCAATATATTGTGATGGTCCATGACGCTGTTATGAGACCTTTGATAATACAACTTCACAAAGTTTGCCCAAAAAAATCACATTCAGACATTTTTCCCAAATCGCTGAACCTTAAGTTTTGACTTTTCAGTCCCACCTTGAGCACACGTTCCTGACACTTCTGGATGCTCTTGCACAGGTCGCCGTCTCCTGGAGCCTGCAGAGACTGGTTCAACAGCTGCTCAAACGTGTACACCGAGTTGTCCATTTGCTGAAATCATAAACAAATATACAGTTAGTGCTCCGTGTACCATTTGTTCTTTTGAATTTCAATTAAAGATGAAAAACAATAAAATGGGAAAACAGTTTATTTCATTTTTCTGTTTTAGTGTCAAACAAAAACACAAATTTCAACCTCTATTTTCAATATTTAATTTTAAGTTTATTTCTCAGTGTCTATTTTAATTTTGATATTTTATTCTCTCTGGTTTATTTGCCCCGGAAATTCTGCTGCTTATTGCGCTGCGTGTGAATTCAGAGTCAACTGAACTGTTTCTCATCATGGAGTTCAACAATCTTTAAAACGTGAAAGTAAATGTGTTGTTATGAAAGAAGAAGACATATTCACAAAATTACAACCATTTTTCCTTCTAACAGCAGAACTTCCGGTGCAAATAAACCAGAGAGAATAAAATTAGGGGTGTCAAATTATCGCGTTAATTGCGATTAATTAATTACAGTCATATTTAGCGCGTTATGTTTTTTAATCGCGTTAATCTCATTTTTAATCTCTAACTTTAGTGTTTCTGTATGCGAGTTGCTTTATTATAAAATCTGTTTTTTATGTGTTGTTGGGACAACAACACACACAAAAAAACACATTTATAATTTTTTTTATTTCGGTAATTCCACTCATTGCCGGAAACCCACACAAAACACGCACAGTAAGAGCGATGTAAACATCATGTTAACGTTGGCGGCGTCAGTCGCACAATGGACGAGGTGGAAGAGCCAGTAGAACAGAGCAGCAGTGCACAGGTAAAAACACATTCGTGTCTTGGAAATTATTCTCCCGACGTGAAATATAAAAGAAAATAACAAATATAAAATCGCCTACAACTTAAATGTCACTGGTGAAAACAACCTGCATACACTCATGCACTATGTCTGCACTACTGTCCTATAGTGACCTGCCACATGAGGGGACACACACACAAACACACACACACACAAACACACACAAACACAAACACACACAAACACACACAAACACAAACACACAAACACACAAACACACACACACAAACACACAACACACACACACACACACAAACACACACACACAACACAAACACACACAAACACACACAAACCGCGCTTCCTCCTGTGCGCCTCTAAACCAGAACTAACACCAAGACTAAAACCAGGACTAATCCAGTCCAGGACTAAACCAGGACTAAACCAGGTCTAAACCAGGACTAAAACAAGGACTAAAACCAGTGATCTCATATATAAAGCATTTCTCTATCAATAATATTTTTAATATGGTTAAGGAAAGACTGGACTTTTTATTGTCTTTAAGTAGACAAAAGTTATTATGTTCAGATTTCCTCGTCTTTGCTACTTTACAGCAAACAGTTTCTTATTCATGGAGACTTGGGCTCAACAGCCGATTTGAAGAGAACAAACAAGAACAACATTTGCAGGATGTGGTTGCTACATTCATGTAGTTTTAAAAAGCATGACAATATCAAGTAATCCAAAGTATTCAGATTACATTACTCACTTTAAGTAATTAAATGGATTAAGTTAAAAACTACATTTTGGGGTATGTAATCTGTAATCTGTAGGGGAATACATTTTAAAAGTAACCTTCCCAACACTGCAGATTAGTAATAGTAATAATAATGATGATACTGTGGAATGTAAGTGACTGCATCTGTTAAAGTTTGTTAAACAATAAATGACTTTATAAAGTCACTTTTTTTGTTCTATATCAGTCTTTTGATCTGCCACAAAAATGTAATAATGAATTTAAATGAAAATTCCTCAAATTGAAGGCTTTTCTCAGCAATTTTTAGGTGAGATTAAAAAGAGATTAATTAGATTAATTAATTACAGATCATAATTAATTAATCTCTAAATTTTTTTAATTGCATGACAGCACTAAATAAAATATCAAATTTAAATCAGCACCAAGACTGTTTTTTGATTAATGTTATTTGAAATCAACTTTAAATTAAATATTGAAAATAGAGGTTGAAATCTTTTTTGTTTTTTGTTTGAATTAAAAGCAGAATCATGACATAACAAACTGTTTTCCCATTTTATTGTTTTTCATTCTTAATTGAAATTTAAAAGAACAAAGAACCAGTAAAAAGTAATGAGAAGTGGAGTTAAGTCAATGCAATGAAAAAACATTTTGTTCCATTTTGTTTATGTCCAACAGGTGGAGACAAAGAGTTAAAATATGAACACATTTACTAGTATGTGTCTTTCCCATTCAGAACTGTGTGAAATGTGCAGTGTTCAAAAGCATATTTAGTCATGTATTTAAAGGTGAACTATGTAACCTGTGTTGCGTTTCCATGGAGATGTTATTTCTTGCTTGTTATTGTAGAATGTTTCACAGTATGGCATTTAAATTATTCTCAAAGTGCAAAAAATCTTGATCATTGACACTACGAGTAGATTCGCCTCTTCACAGATCTGACCTGTCATTTGGCCTGGTGGCATCGCCTGCTTGTCTCCATGGAAACAGTTTAATTCAATGTGTAATTTGATGAGGTAAGTGTGTAAAATCCCTCAGTCGTCCAGGTAGAATCCACGGCAAAGGAGAAACTCAATTTGCTGACTGGACAAGAGTTTATTTGCTCAAGTACGTCATCCAAGGTGCTTCTTCAGTTCTGGTCAGAATGCAGGAGAAAGCTGCAGAAGAAGCAGCTTGGATGAGCTACAAAACGGATTTGACCAAATAAACTTTTGTCCAGTCGATAAATTGAATTTCTCCTTTGCCATGAATTGAGGTAAATGAGGAATATAAATGAGGAGTTACTAGTTTTTTCAGTTTTTAGGAAAATCTGACACATAGTCTTTAAAGGGGCTGTAAAATTAAGAGAATGTGCTGTCTTTTATTGTTCACAAACGAGGAAGTAATGCACTGTTAGCATGCTAGTAGTTATTAACATTAAAGTTGTGAAAAATGTTTATTATAAACTCATCAAAGTGAATAATTAGGATGCTCTGAATGCATGAGGTAAGTGAGGGAGAACTTTAGACCACTGCAAACTTTAAGATTTTAAAATGACTGTTTCTGATTGGTGTTATTTGAAATAAACTTTAGATTAAATATTGGAAATAGAGGTCAAAATCAGTTTTTTTGTTTGACACGAAAACAGAAGAATGAAATAAAATGTTTTCCCATTTTACTGTTTTTCGTTCTTAATCGAAATTCAAAAGAATGAAGGAATGTACATGGACCAACTAGATCTCCAAAAATTCTAATCTGCATAATTCACCCACTTCAAAATAAGATTACACAAAATTGGACCATAAACGAGAAATTTCAGTGTCACAAAATCAAGATTAATTCTTTAAAAATACATTTAAATCAAACTGTTTAGCTGGAATATATTAAAAATACTATTTACACATGAAATTAAGATGCAAAATACAATTAGATAAGCAAGATAAAATAAAATAAAAAAAGTTGTATTTTAAAAGAACAGAAAAGGTCTAAGTGAGGCATTATAAGGCACTTTTGTATCGTTTTAACTCAATCTACAAGAACGGCTGCAATTTTTTGAAGTAGCATCATTTCCTCCAGGTCCAACAAATCCAAAAAAGTCTTATTCTGCATAAAAACTAGAGCCGTAACGATATTTTCACTATACGCATCTCACAGTACGAAAAGTAAGGAATAACTTTGGCCGACTGCAAACCGTGTAAAATGAACTCGCTTTGTTTTCCACGTTTTAAAGCCAGTGTATGTGTGTGTGTGTTTGTGTGTGTGTGTGTGTGTGTGTGTGTGCGTGTGTGTGTGTATTGGTGGTACCCCTCGGAGCAGGATCTGTGCCCTGGATCTGAACACTGTGGGCCCGCTCACGCTGAACCTGTGCTGCAGCCCCTCCAGCTCCATACGCTCCAGCTCATCATAACACGAGCGCATCTTGACCGGGTGGAAGGCCAGCATGGACAGACGCTCCATCTGCTACAGAGACACACACAAACACATTCAACCAGTAAAGAAGATAAAAGGAGCTGACTCATAATAAACGGTTACTCAAACATGTGTGAATGAAACAAAACACAACTGCAGGTCTGTTTTCAAGGAGGTCACACGGTGTAATAGGGAGTCCATTTTGTAATATAAATCTTTACCTGTTGTAGTCCAGTGATAATAACACCTTCAGTTTACAGGGAACAGGAACATAGGTGTTTTTCTAAGCATTATCAAAAAGATCTTCTTCAAGGTCAATATGTCTTTTCATTTCCTTGTTAGTAACTTTATCCGTCCATGTAACCTGAAGCACAACTGTCCCTATGAAGGGGCGGGGCCTGTCAGTACTGAGCAAATGGACCTGTTTTAGATCAATACTGCAAATTACTATTAAAAAAAAAATCTACCATAAAAAAGTAATATAACTGAATATCCCCAAAAATATAGTGTCTTTTTTACCGTTTAGTGTTATGGTTTAAAGGGCCCATCTCATGCAAAATAACTCTTTTCACATTGTATCTTCTGCACATAAACTTTTTTCTATTTCTATTTGGGTTTTGGAACATCCATTACACAATAGTTATGAAATCTTACTGATTTCTTGGAGGCCGACACAGACCAGGAACTATGAAATGTTCATGTGGGAATTGTCAGCCGATGCCCACAGAAACAGAATGTTTTCTGCCAGGAAAGGTGGAGGGGGAGGGGGGCGAGTGTGAAGCTCTTCCTGCTACGTCAAACACGTCATCGTTATAGCAGGCTTTTTTTCAGGGGTGTCAAACATATGGCCCGGGGGCCAGATCCGGCCCTCTGAGACATTTAATCTGGCCCTCGGCTGATTAATACTAAAATATTTTAATTATATATAAAAATTTATATATATATATATATATATATATATATATATATATATATATATATATATATATATATATATATATATATATATATATATAATATTTGTAAAAGAAAGATTTCATCAATTAAAAAAGATTTCTGTAATAGATTTGTGTTTCTCTGCACAAATATTTGAACTTATTGCTATTTTTGGGGTTTATATGCCATGACTTTGCCGTGAGGATCAAAGTAGGTTGGATACGGTGGAAGGGTGGCAGAAATACGCTGCAATCACTTCGGTGACATATACAAGGCCCACACATCACTCTTAGAAGGTAGAAAGCTCTGAAAAGTTGATTTTACATGAGATGGGCCCTTTAAAGCTACAGTGTAACTTTTGGGAGGTGGCAGGGCTGACCTGTTATAATGTTTCCTCATCCCCGAGTTGAACTACCCCTTTTAAATGAAAGTTAAGACCAATGTCGCACCCATTATGCGGGCGAAAAACACCAGGTCTAATTGTAATAATGACCAACTAACTACCGGTATTATGTCTAGAATCTAAGGCTATGTTTATATGATGACAGTCTGAACAGAAGATGCAAAAGTGGCGTAGCGTCTTCACTTTTTATTCCACGTTTAGACAAGCGTTTTCGGGAGGAAATCTGCGTGATGCAAAGGTGTGTGGAATTGGATTGTGTGTGTATGCCAAGCGGCTCAGTGGTGACGCTCAGTGGTGACGTATGTGATGTAAACACGTAGATGATGTGAGCAGATCTGACCAGAGTTTTGCGTCTTGGGCAGCGTAGATGAAACTGACTGTTTACTCATTGCCGCCGATGCCAGAAACCAAAGTATTGTTTGTGCATACTCCAAATTAGACATTCATTCATGTTACATTATCTCACGTTGTTTTTTTCACTCTGCCTCCATTTAACATTGCACTGCAGCCTGGTTGAGTAAACAAAAAAATAGGCTAATGAAAATTAAGACCTTTGTGAAAAAAATAAGACTTGGACAACATAATTTAAGACTTTTTAAGGCCTTAATTTAGGAACATGAAATTTAAGACCTTTTTAAGACTTTTAAGACCCCGTGGCTACCCTGTAATCACAAACAGACCTGGAGTTGTGTTTTGTTTCATTCACACATTCACACATTAACACACGCATGATTCCACAGACATGGAAAGCTAAAGCCACTTCAGAACATTCTCTTTGGAGATAGATGAGATTTATGCCATACTCAACTCAGAGTCAAATCAGTCTGAGGGTCTCTCTGAAAGCGATCGAACCACTGACTGAAGCGTGCAAACAAAGACTTCACCCTGATTGGTCAAAGTGTCAAACATTTTTCACAAACAAAATAGTCTGAATTTATGCTGAAGTATTTTGGTGCCATGTTTGTTTTGATGCGTCTGACGCTGGCTTCCACCCAAACCACAGAGCTGCACAAGCGAATCCTAACAAGGTGGAATTCAACATTTCCACAAAAAAACTAAACGGAATCCCTCCTCCAGGTCAAATGAGAGCCATGTCTGTGGAGATGCAAGCCTGCTCACAGTAAGGATGCATGTTTTCAAAGTTTTTCGGTGCTAAACTCAACCAAAATGAAAAAAAAAAAAAAAGCATAAATAAAAACTAAAAACTAAATAAATAAAAACTAAAACCAACCTGCTTTTACTTTATTTATTTATTTATTTTTTTTTTTGGCTAAAAGTTACATACTGTGGCTTTAAGATCACGTACATTTGAAAATGTCCTATAGATATTGTAAATGAAGATATATTTCACTGTGTTTTATGTAATTAAAAGATTTGAAGGGCTGGCAGTAGGTTAAGTATTAATCAGCCTTCACCGTAATGATAATATACCTGTCCTTGTTTTAATACAGGAAACAGTGACACAATAGACGGCTCTATAAAAACACCTTTATTTCCTTACAAAGAGTCAACACTGAAAGTCACTCAATGTTGTTGTTGTTCTGCGTGTGTTAATCCGATCTCAGTTCGCAGGTTTTCATCATAATCCCTTTGATAATTGATCGTATTTCCGCAGCTCTGGGCCTGAGGTGTGGTACATCCTACAGTTGGACAATAGAGAGCAGGCGGCGCCATCTTATTCAGCTTTGAACGTATTCATTTTAATAGTAGCCTATAAAATTATAACAAACATTTGCTGTCACGCCTGCTCATTTAGTGTTTGTTGTACTTTTCTTTTCTATTCCCACGTGGCCTTACATCTGTGTAATCCCTCAGTGTTCCAGTAGGTTCCATAGTAGGGCTGGGCGATATGGATCAAAAAAATATACCTCGATATACCATATATATCTCGATATCTGTACAGGAAAAATAACCCTCCAAAACTGAAAACTGCAAAAACAAATATGCCAAATTCCACAAGGTCTTTTTTTTTACTGAAGTGCAAAAGGTCGGCAGTTCATGTAGGAACAAAGTACTTCTGCCACATTTAAGATTACAAAAAAATCCCAGATTACATAAATAATAATTTAACTGTAAAATGAAATAAATAAAACATATTTCCTTCTTTTCATTCATAAATAAAACAACAACAACTCAAGCTCATCTTTGCATTAACTCTGTTATCCAGACCATAACCATGAGCTCCTTCAGCACAGGAAGCTCGGGAGGTTCTTTACTTTAACAGATCCATGTTCCTATCCAGCGTAAGGAGCGCTGAGGTTTCCCACAAGCCACTGCGCTGATCAAACCCAACGTTTTCAGACACTATTGTACATGTTACATTGCAGCAGATTATTAATTAAAATGTTCTGCATAAATAAACTTTACATGACTAAACTTTACAACATATAAACATAACGACTCTAGAGCCACATCAGCCCATTTGAGATTATCAAAACTTAAAACCGCATGGCTTATTTGCATAAAGAGCTCTTTCCTTCCTCCCTGCTGATGGTTTTGTCTGTAAACGATGGAAAAGGTTTGTGGTGCTTTTCACTGGCACCAACTTTGGGCGTTCACGGCGGTAGTGACGAGTGAATGAGACACAAGCAGCAAAATCAGGGAGGGCCATGGGGCCGCTCACAGAGAAGATAAACATACAATATCAAGATATCCCCCACCCCTATTCCATAGTGTCCACTGGTGTATACTAGTCTATGTGCTCTTCTACTTGTTCTGATACAGCTCAACATCATTCAGAAAAGGCTCATTTGTGTCCTGTGAATGTGACTTTTTTAGTACTGATACCTGCTCAAATGAGTATCTAGTTTTAGTATTAGTTCGTATCTGATGTTCAATACTTTTGACAACACTACATTCATAGTTTTGATGCCTTCAGTAAGACTCTACAATGTAAATAGTCCTGAAAATGTGTAATATTTCTTTTAATAATTCTGTGTGGAGAATTCCATGAAGAATTGTGAGTAATAAAAAATACCTTGAAATACTGTTAGTTTAAAGGTCCTACCTAACTTCAGTGCTAACAGGGCTTGAATTACAACTACTACCTGGCAATGCATGCATCACAGATTTCAGACTTCCAGTCATCGCACAATGCATACTGGGAAGGATCCTCCAAAAAAGTGAGCATCAAACCGCTGTGTTTGTTTTCCCAGTGGGATGCGTCTGTTGCCAAAGCCAATCTTTTCAAGTCTTTTGAACCATATCGCTAACCTTTGGCTGTCTAAGAAATCATCTCGAGTTTGCAGTGAACATTTTGTATGTGGAGTGAAACTTCCGAAGCCCGTTTTCCACTGTTAGGATCCAACAACCACACAATTATGATGTCCGAATCCCATAACTAAAATATGACAATATCAGAACCAGAAACAAAAGTGATATGGTTCAAAAGACTAAAAAAGATTGACTTTGACAATAGACGCATCCCACTTGGAAATCAAACATGGCGGTTTGATGCTCACTTTTTCAGAGGATCATCCCCAGTATATGCATTGGGCGATGACTGGAAGTCTGAAATTCGTGATGCATGTATTGTAGCAAAAAATAATTCAGCCCTGATTTTTTTCTTCTAGTTTAAATAAAGCTAAAAACAAGAGCTGCAACTTCCAGGTTGAGATCTTGAAAATAACAACCCTAGAATTTAAATAATGAGTCTGGAGATGGTCTGAGAGGAGCAGAGCCAAAGCCTCAGTCACACACAGAGACACATGTGTGACTTTCATCTGATGGAACGCTCCAAACAGGTTTGAACTCCTCTCAGGTGATAATGAGTCCAAATATTAGTCCAGTACATTCTGGTTCAATGCACAACAGTGGTGTAACTGTGGGGCAAACACGACTATGTTTACATGTACGTCTTTAGATCTGATCATTATCACATTATTATAATGTCATGTAAACAGTTACATCTGATTTCTCTCAGAACGTTCACAATTATGCAAAAAGAGTAAATGAATGTGTCAAAGATTGTATCTCCATATAAACACATACCAAAAATCTGTTCTAATTATTACATATTCTGATTCGTTTTTTAACTGGTTTGACTGATTTCTGATCTTGAGTTTTGCTACTCTTGATTTTTACTGCTCAAATTGGTCTGTAAAAGGTTAAGGTACACTTTATTGTACCTTCACTGTATAGGCTTGGTCAGAATGCCTTAGCTGGAAGGTTTTACATATAGTGCATGTTTTAAATGGGAAAACCCACTCAGACACAGGAAGAACATGCAAACTCCACACAGTCAGCCACAGTGCTGCTGTATGGTCTTTTAATTAAAGCCCTGTACCCAAATTTCATCAAACTTCATGTTGCCCCAGTACAGATATATTATATAAGCAGCTCTTGAGGTCAACATAACTCTGCTGTGTACTGTCTGCAGCTAAATGGAAAACATGTATTGTCCGATAATCAGGAAATGTGCATTAGCATGTTAGTGATGGCCTCCAAAAGTTGTGAGAAGTGTTTCTAAACTCATCGCTGTGAATAATGAGGATGCTCCAAAGGCATAAGATAAGAGAGGAATAACTTTTGACCACAGCAAATGAACTAGTTGTGAATAAAAACAAAACAACACACAACTCCAGAGCAATATTTTAACATGACTAAAACTACAAAAAAGTGTATTTATTTACTGCAGTACCACATATAGATTCTGTAGCCACACTTTTGCAGTATTAGTAAAAACAGCTGCTCTCACCTCTCCCAGTTTGTCCTTGTCCTGCTGCACAGAGTTCTTGCTGAGCTCCACCAGCTCTCTGCAGAACACCTCCCTGACCTCAGAGAAGCCCCGAGACGTGGGCACCATCAGAGCTTCCAGGATGGAGCTCACATACGGCTGCACACTGCTCCGCAACACCTGCTCCGCCTTCGGAAGGACCAGAGCTGCAGGAGGAGAGGGAGAGAGAGGGAGGAAAGGAGAAGAGAGGAGAGAAGAGGGGAGGAGACGGGAGAGAGGGAGAGGAGAAAAAGGAGGAGAGGTCACTGTCAATAATAATCAGACAATCACAGCCTGCTACCTTCTGTCTCTCAGCCAATCAACTCTCAGACCATTCATATAACTACACTCTCTCACTCCTCCTCCTTTTAGTCATTTAATCATCATCATCATCATTCAAATCCTCTCTCTCCTAAGCATGGGGTTCAGAGTGGTGCTGACTCTCACGCTTGGACAGGTATCATTTAGAACAAAATCAAACCTCTTTGTGTTTATCTTTCTCAGATTGACCACTCTGATCACAGGTAATAACCTACATTGATGCAACTTTATAAAAGTAAACCAATCTGGTCAGATCTCAACAGAAGCTCAACAGGACCTGGCCTGGTTAGTCACTTGGATGGAAGACCACTGGGAACACCAGGTGCCACAGTGGAGCGTCATTGGCCCACATTGCCTATATGAAAGTGGTGTGTATATAAGTGTTGGTGGTGGTCAGAGGGGCCAGTGGTGTAGATTGGTAACTTTGCTTTGTCTGTCTGTCTCAGGGCAGCTGTGGCTCCATCAGTATCTTACCACCACCAGGTATAGAGTGAATGAAGAATTGTATTGTAAAGAGTCTTTAAGTGCCTCAAAATCAAATGCATCATCATGGTTCATATGAACATTGGCGAGCGGTGATGTACTTTAAAACCTCACTTGTTGTTTATCATGTAGAGTCCTCTCACTCCAGCAGAGGTAACCTGACTCTAACCTGGTGCTCAGACACAAACCTGTCTGAGACTGGGCCTGGCTCTGAGAGGAGCAGAATCAGAGCCAAAACCTCAATCACACACAGAGACACATGTGTGACCTTCATCTGACGGAATGCTCCAAACAGGTTTGAACTCAGCTCACGTGATCATGAGTCCAGCGCATTCTGGTTCAATACACAACAGTGGAGTAACTATCGGACACTGGCTATGTTTACAAGCACATCTTCAGATCTGATCATGATCTGATTTCTGGAGTTATCACGTTGTTGTAGTGCTATCTAAACAATTACATCTGATTTTCACAATTCTGCAAAATAAGAAAATGAATGTGTTAAAGACTGATGTAAACACACACCAAAAATCAGTTCTAATTCTGATTAGTCTATTTTTTTATTTTTTACTGATTTGACAAAATTCCAATCTTGATTTTACTGGTCATGTTGATGCACCCATTAATGTAAAATGCAATAATAAAAGCTCAAAGTGGTCTAGAAGGATGATCAGAAGTCAGTTTTCACGCATGTTACTGTTTCAAGGATTGCACTGCAGAATGTTGACTTTACACAGGCACAAGTGAATGTGGAGTGAATGCTTGAGCTACTGTGAAAATAACCTTAGTGTTCTGTATTCACTTTTTACTGATAAGAATATTGTGTTTCCTTTGCATGCTACTCTATAATGAATTCTTGGTCCATACAACTGAGTCCTTCATTGAAATACTCAGAATCTTACTTGACCAAAGTGCTGTGCTCAGGTTTAACCCGATGCAGGAGTGCGGCTGTAGTTTGATTTCTAAATAAGTCAGAAGACAGGAATGTGCCCTGTCCACTTCACACTCATGACAACTGTACAAGAGTAAAAGCATCAAGGAGTGACAGCACAACACACAACGCCCAAACACACAGGGAGGGGGCGCTGTCAGAGCACGCAACTATTACACTCCATCATGTTGACAGACAAGGATTAAAACAGTGTGTCAGGAGCTATTGTTGTCATTGTGTACATGTGTTATTTTACGAAGGAGCAGAATTTTTTAATAAAAGTGAATGTCGCAACATAAATACTGATGAATACACAACAATATACACCAGCACAGTTCTGGAGCTGCCCTCTCACCTCTGATTTTGCTGGACACGTGTTCCTTGGAGGTGATGATCTGGTCCATGTCGGTCCTGAGAGCCGCGTCCAGGGGCCCTCGCTGCGCCTCACAGTCCTGAGACAGAGACTCGTACTGGGCTGTGGTCTGGTTCAGCACCTGCCTGTACACTGCTCCGGAGATCTGCACCACAAACAACATCGTGTACAGTAAGAAGACGGTTGTGAACTATCTACGTCTGGGGTCTCCAAACTTTTCTCTCTGGTGAGCGTCATTTACAAAACAAAAAAGCCAGAGAGACAAGAAATTGAGTAAATATAAGGGCCATGGTAAACTGTCACATTTTTATACAGTGCTTTTCCACCTTTAAGACACTCAAAGCACTTTACAACAAGGAACCACTCACCCATTCACACACACATTCACACACCAGTGTACGCAGACACTGGGGGGGTGAGGTGGGTTAAGTGTCTTGCCCAAGGACACAACGACAGCATTCATCTGTGAGAGCTGGAATCACACCATCAACCTGTGGGTCACTGGATCTGATTGCTCAATCTATGATGTATGACGAGAGTAGGATTCAAACCACCAACCTTGGCATCAAAATGACACATTTACAGTGACACTTTATTTTAGGGTACACTTCTAACTACACACCTAACTGCCTGCTAATTAGCATAGTTGTACATTGTTAATTTGTCATTAATTAGTATTTATTCAGCCCTTATTAATGTCTAATTCCCCATTATTCGAAAGCTGACTGTATGGAGATATGTATCGTATCGGCAACTTCTTAATGAGACCCAGCCCTACTTAATATACCAGTTAGCCCCGTTAGCGGCGCATTACATACATCACGATCAAATAGCAGCAACTGGTTAAATAAAAAAAGTACCTGCCTACCATCAAGCGAACAAATTCTAACCCTGCGAGGTCAGACGGTTTCCAGAAAGTGAAACCAGCTGGTGAATCATGCTAAGGTTACCCATGATTTAGAACAAAATCAAAGTGCTTTGCTAATTCATTCTACAGAAATCTGCCTTGTTTTTCTGTCCTTTTTTCTCATCAGCAGCCATATTTGTTTTGATAACTGGCTAATCCAGCTGTCAGTCACACTAAACCACCTGTCACTTTGAACTCGAGGAGTTTTAGTGTTCACAGCGCTCACAGACTCACATCTTTGTAAAGTACTGACGAAGTGTGTTTTCTGGATCCCAGGACATGTTACAAATGCAATTAAAGTTGTGCGTCTACGTCACAAAAGCACGTGATCTGTTGTTTATGCTGTCATACTGGAGGCAAACGATCTATCTGGACCAACGTGTAGTTTTTGTGTGCGATAAAATAAGAAGGACGTGCTGTGCGTTTTTCACATTCGCCGGCACAGAATCTCCCCCTCACCGCCACTCCACCACCCGGGGTCGCTACAGTTCTGATTTTGACCCCCCCGTTCTACCTGGCTGTTATCAGGAGCAGATGTGATGTCTTGGTGATCAACAAACATCTCACGCATCCACCTACAAAATACTTATAAGCCTCTAACCCCTTGTAATTTTTCAGTTCTTGGTTGATGTAGGACAATGTAGAATGAATGAAGTAGTAATAAAAATCTGGATACTGGATGTTGGAAACAGATTGGACTGACAAAGCAGTCTGTCGGAATTAAGACAGGGATCTATTTTACAACCCAGGAGGATGACTTTAGCATTATATTTTTCTAATGACGGCTGATGTAACGAGCTGGCAATTTTGTTTGCGCTCTTTAACTCTTTCCCCCTTGGACGCCTACTAGGAACAACCCACACATATGTGACTAGGGCTACTCATAGAGCATAATTCCATAAAAGAAAACGGATTTCCACGAGTGATTATAAATGAATTTCACACTCATGAACTTAATTGAAACACAGACATATTTGGTATCTCTGGAAACTTTAGACTTTGAACTATTCATTTATGGTTTAAATGTGATTTAACTCATTTACAGGTTTATAACAGCTCACTGAATATGAGAGTTTACCTGGTCAGGTGCAAAATCGAAAACAAAAAACTACATTCAGCATCTGATATATGCATGTTCTGATTCATAAAAAAAAAAATAAAAAAAAATAAAAATAAAAAAATATATATATATATATATATATATATATATATATATATATATATATTATAGAGAGAGATATAGATATAGATATATTTGACAAAGTATTTAAACAGATTTTATATCACCACATACAGTATAGCCAAGTGTACACCTGTTTTTACCTGTTTTTCACCTGTGTGGACCTAATTCGTTTTATTTCCATTTAACTTATTTAACTTATTCAACTTATTTAGCTTATTATAATATAATAATATATAATAATAAAATTCTTCCCCGTCAGTGGGTGTCTAATATTTGTCATCTTGGTTACTTTCTCGTGTGCAGAGCTCCACATAAACGTTTCTGTAGCGATTCTGTTATACATCACATCTTGGAAAAAAAGACTGAAATATTTCAAAGGACTCGCCTGAGCAACATCCAGATTTCAGGACAATTTTGGTTCATAATCGAGTATAAAGTCCCCGATAGTTTGTTTGGATATCGCAGGACTCCATACAGACGCATCAGCAGCATTCTCATCTTCGTAAGATTCATTCTCTGAAAGTCCGTCACTATTGCTGTTTTCCACTTTATAATCAACTTCATCATCACTTTGAAATCTATAAAAGTCACTTTCTCTAAACTTATCCATAAAATATGTCCGCTCCTCATTATTTCTAAAACTGTGCGCCACAATTTTTCCATTGCACGTGTTTCTTGTTGTGTTTTTAACGGAGGCTACAATCGTCACTACTTTGATTAACTTTGGAAAAAAAGGGCAAAAACATATCCTTGAATCCTATTGGTCAGCCTAGTGTGGGTTATAGTGGCCCCGACCCATAGCAGCCTCTGTTTACATGTGAAAAACCGAGCCGTTTCTAATGGTCAAATTACGTCTTTAGTGATACAGCGGAGGTGTCAAAACACGTCTTTAAGGATGCAAGGGGGGTTGTCAAATGTCGTCTTCATGGGGGAAAGAGTTCAAGTGGCCATGATTATACTGTAGTAACTGAGTAACACGTTCTGATCAACCCCAACCTTGACGTCCAGTATGGACTCCAAAACATTAAGTTACATGACCGCCACATCACACGCAAATCCTTAATAGAAGTGAGTGAAGTGAGTACGTGTGAGGAAGTGTAACTAGACCTGTGTGTAAACGTGCACTAAAAACCTAACCCATGCTACACTGAGAGTCGTACCAGCATCCAGCTGCGGAGCCTCTGCTGCAGTTTACCCTTGAGCTTCGGCCCGATCACACTCCTCAGGTCCGGGTGCAGATCCTCCATCACCAGGTTAGCCAGGATCTAAGGGAAACATGACACACATTTGACATCAACTGTTTAAAAAAATATCACAAAAAAACCCCAAAAAGAGTAAGTCCATCACTGGGTCAAATGAAATGTTACTACACTGGTGCTCTCCGAGGATCCAGGGGGTGAGTAATCTAGAAGAAAATAGAAGAAGATCCAAAGCACGCTGACTCAAACTAAAAGTCCTTTATTTATAAGTGAACATGAAAACTTTAAACCTTTCTTTACCATTTTTCTCCTGCTGTATTGACCCATCCTTCAATTTCACTCTGGCAAACTGTCACGGAGCACTGTCACATACAGGATGCTGACAGACTACTTTAAACTAGAAGGTTTGTCTTGCATTTTGTTTACTTTCAAAGTGCCACTAAGCATTGATATGCATTTAATTATGATCTACAAACTCCAGTGTAACGTACTCGTGAGCTGGGACAGTGTCTGCATCTGTGTGTCGAGTTTACAGTGCAACAGATCACTTTAAATGACAGAATGGGCCACACAAGCAAATTCTGAGAGGAAATAATGGTCTGGATTTATATTAATACTAGGGATGGGCATTCGATTACATTTTCTTAATCGATCGTCGGGAGAATTAAAGATCGATTATCGATTAATCATGAACTTTTTTTTATATTAAAATTATCATCATTTTTATTTCTATCTGCACTACTAATCTGCATAAATAAATTCAACTTTATGACATATAAACTGTAACCACTCTAGCCCGTGTGAGATTATAATGTGTTTAATGCAGTTTTGCACAAGTCCCACAGAAACAAAATTTAAAACCTCATGGCTCATTTGCATAAACTAAGCGAAGAAAAAAAACAGCTCTTGTGCGCTGATGTGGTTCAACTTCTGTCGGATTAAAGGACACGACTCAGTGGAATACAGGTTAGTGTGACCATATTTGCGTTTGTCAAAACGAGGACACCGTACGGAGGGTGGGGCCTCGTCATTGACATCAAGCGACTCTTACCTGGCAAAACGTTTTTAATGTTTTCGGTGTCCTGGTGAGCTTTTTCCCACTGGACACCGAAACATATGTGCTGCTTTGTACACTGTGCACATGGCCTCACACTTGTCCCGACAGGAACTGAAAGCGTGGAATTTCTTGTACAAGTCATCGTTAAATACACATTTGTGCTTCGGCATGTTGCAGACTGACCCACTGTCTGTCTGCTCGCTCCTTCTGAGTGCAGAGAGACACATGGAAGTTTGGTCACCGTACGCTACGCACAGCAACCTACATTCGGCTTGTCGATTAAAAATGAACGTAATCAATGAAATTCTTAATGATCAATTATCGATTAATCATGCCCATCTAATCATGCCCATCCCTAATTAATACAGTAAAGACAGATTTGGCAGATTTGGTAAAGACACTTGTTTTAACGATAGGTGATTAGAGCTGTATGATTTGATTGACAGGGCCGTGGTGCTATTGGCGAGGTGGGGCACCCTGAAAATATAATGTTAGGGGAAACACCGAGACCTACTGAGCACAAACTCTAATGCCACAATCTCACAACAACACATCTAACCAGGCCTAAATCCGACTCAACTCCTCATGACCTCTCCTCTACACATGTTGTTGTGTATCTGCAGTACGGCAGTGTTGTGGTTGTTGGCTCTCCCTGAGCTGAACAGGGGCCACTGTCTGCCCGGTACAGAGGGGCTCCAGGGGCTCCTCACAGGAAGGGCCTGGTCCATAACATGTTGTTCACTACAGTCCCACACATCCACACAGTCACCTGCCTGAAATAACATACATGTGTCTATAAAGACCAGCAATAAAAAAGCAGACGGGTGACTACAGTGACAGCAAAATATTTCAAAAATACTGAGAAATGCAGATGACAGGCCTAAACAGGAAAGTTCTGGTCTGCACAGGCCTGACACAATAGCACATTTTGAAGTACGATATAACAGTAAACAATAAACTGAATGCCATTATGCCACTAACCCCATCCAAAATACTCTTCTAACTCTAACAGCACAGTTAGCTCGAGCTACAAGAACAAAATGATGATGATTAATCCACTTTACAGCTTAAGTTTTCAAAAAAGTACCAAAATAAGAAAACATTAAAAGAAAAAGTGCTCACCATAAATACTGACCCCCAGAAATGATTGTTGCATCATTACATCATGTATTGACTGATAGGCCCATGTCTGCAGTCCACATCTGTAAACACTCTCCTAATCTGACCAAGTCAACACAGAGCAGCACACTTCCATAACAGGAGTATTCACCATTCATATATGACGGCATTCCAAAAGCTGCCACCCTTCCATACATGAGCTCCAAAGCATTTCAGTGGGAGAGCTTTAGCCTCCAAACATCAGCAGGGCTTTTGGAGACTGACGGCCACTCGACTACACAAAAGTAACCTCAGAGCTTTGGTAGAAAACAGGACCACCGGTAAAACTGTTCATTAGCATCAGCACTAATGGCCACATAATAAACATCTCACTGGACAATAAGGCACCAAACGTATAATGACGTCAACAGTTCAGTTTTACTTTGAGTTCACCAAGCACCACAAATCCTCCATACATCAATGAACTTTAGACACTGGAGAGGAAGTTACTACAACAACAACTACTGCAACAACAAAAACAACAACTACTACTACTACTACTACTACCACCACTACAACAACAACAACAACAACAACTACAAGCACAACTACAACAGCTACAACAATAGCTACTACAACAACTACAACTACAACAAAACCTACTACTACAACTACTTCAACTACTACTACTGCAACAACAACTACAAAAACAACAACTACTACTACAACAACTACAAACAGCAACTACTACTACAAGAACAACAACAACAACTACTACTACTACAACAAAAACAACAACTACTACTACTACTACCACCACTACAACAACAATAACAACAACAACTACAAGCACAACTACAACAGCTACAATTACAACTACGGCAACAACAATAGCTACTACCACAACTACTACAACTACTACTACTACTGCAACAACAACTACAACAACAACTACTACTACTACAAGAACAACAACAACAATTACTACTACTACATTGAAAACAACAACTACAACAACTACTACTACAACAACAATAACAACAACGACTACAACACCTACTACTACAATTACTACTACTACTACTACTACTACTACAATAGCTACTACAACAACTACACCAAGAACTACTACTATTACAACAACAACTACTACTATGACTACAGCAATAACAACAATAACTGCAACTACAAATACTACGGCAACAACTAATACTGCAACAACTACTGCTACTACTAGTACTACAACAACAACTACAAACAACAACAACTACTACTACTACAACTACTACTACTACAACAATAACAACTATGACGAGAACAACTACAACTGCAACTACAACAACTACAACGACGACGACAACTAAAACAACAACAGCGACTACTACTACAACAACAACTACTACTACTACAACTACCACTCCTACTACTAGTATTCAAATCTAAAGAAATACTAGAACAGTCTATAATTATCAATTTTGTCGTTTTAAATCGAATGATATAGGAAGTTAATATAAGTACAAAGCTGTGTGTGCAACAACTCAAACACCTCACTCCTGTAAAAGTACTCATGACTTTTTAGAGACTTTATATTACCATTCTGTTTTACCATAAAAGTATAAGTATGATGACAGTTTAGTGGTTGTACCTGGGGGGGCGTGCCACACATCTGGTCCCAGCTGCCGTAGTGCCCTTTGGCCTGACGATAGAGCCGTACACTGTTGGTGAAGGCTGGAGTCAGGACTGTGCTCTCCTCAGGCAGACCTACAACACAAGATCACAATCGTTCAAATGTTCAACACGATAGCATCTTTTTGGCATGAAATCTATCAGCTCTGACATTAGCCTAGTAAATAAATTCCAATTTCACTTTTGGACGCATGAACAAAGTGACTACCTATTATATCTCCTCCATCTCCAGATCTTGAATCAAAGCACAACATAGTCATGGGGTTCAGCTAATTCTGTATGGGTGCCATTTTTAGGCCTTTTTACCATTTAAAAGATGTGATATTTAGTTTTTAATTGTTAATTGCTGTGGCCTACTATTATATCGAAAGTATCTGAGCAAAATGTGTCTTGCCCAAGTATAGATATATTGTAGAAGGTCAAAATAAGTCCTCTGTGAAAAGCAAAGTAAACTCATCAAAGAGTGCGTATACATGCACATCAGTATGCCGGTTATTAGCCATATTCCGGTTCTGTCAGTATTCGGGTTACTGTGTTTACATGCGCGCTGAGAAACCAGGACACTCATATTCCTGTGGACATGATCAAATGGAGTATCCTGGTTTCTTCTTACAAATGTGCAAGTGCAAAATAATAACTTCATTTACATTAATAAACCAGGAAAAATACAACCAACCATGAGCTCTTTTAGCGTTGGAAGCTCGGGAAGTTTACCAGCGTGAGGAGCTACGAGATCTCCCACAATCCACTGCACAGATCAAACCGAACAGATTCTTCATTAAAATCTTCTGCATAAATAAACTCAACTTTACAACATATAAACCATAACCACTACAGAGCCACATCAGCCCGTTTGATCAGATAATTCAGCTTTGATCACATTTGTTTACATTTTAAAGAAACAAAACTTAAAACCACTGCTGATAAAAAACAGTTTGCTCCTTGTGCCGCTGATACAATCAGCTTCTGTTGGACTAAAACAGGGGTTCTTAACCTTTTCAATCTTGAGGCCTGACTTTTTCTGAACAAACTAACCAGGGGCCCTATCTCATATTAAATGCATTATTTTGTGCTGGTTGTGGGGCCCCCAAGGAGCTGTTCCTGGACCTACTTTTTGCCCCGGACCTATGGCTAAGAATCACTGAACTAAAGGACACGACTCAGTGGATTATGTGTGTTCTTTTTGTGACAGAGGAGGTGGTAATGATGATGAGTCTGTTCTGTGTGTGTGTTGTATAGGAGATAGTTCATGTTTTAGCTTTTCAGCGATCATACGCGTGCAGATCATACAAGTGCAGATTCGTGTGCAGGTTTAGTGCAGCTCTTTATTCTACAGTCATTTCACTCATCTTTGGTCACTTTATTTATGTAAATACTGTTGTGGTGAAAAGACTAGAAGTGTTTGTCTTTTTGGACACATGCACACTCAACTTTATGTAGCAGTAACCGGGATACTGTGTATACATGACACAGTATCCCGGTTACTATCAGAATAAACCAGCTACAGTATCCCGGTGTCTAATAACCGGGATACTGAAACCGGGATACTGCGTTTACATGCACCATGAAGAAACCGTGATACTCAAAAAACTCGATCATAACCGGGACACTGATGTGCATGTATACACACTCAAAGGGTGTGCAAAAGGTGAATGAGGAATAACTTTGGACTGCTGCAAATTGAAATTAACTAGTTCTGTTTTTGATATTTTTAAGTCAAAATTAGGCATATCACTTTTAAGGCACATGTTTTGTATTTAAAAAAGAATAAATGTTAAATAAGCAGTTGAGCAGACAATAGGACCCTTAAATAAAATGGAGCATTTCACTAGCCTGGTGACGTCCCTGCTGCCTGCTCACAAACCCTGTGGAGGATAATAGCATGTTTCTGGCCTCTGATCACGAGCCTACCCCTCTATTACACACACACCACACATCATCCCGAGTACAACAATAAGTGGTGCGTCAGACGTCTATATTCAGAATGAGAACACGCTCAGGACAGCCACCCTCATATGTGTCATGTCCCCAGACAGGAAGACTACAGCGTGTCCACAGCGTCGCCACGGTAACCGGACCTCCTCGACGACGGGACAATGGCACCCGCACGCACGGCAACCGCTTGTTTAGGGAAGTTCTCTCTTATCATGTGTTTGGATGGAAATAGACTGAGATGAATGACCTGCATAGGCAATGTCAACTCAAGCAGGTGTCTGACCACTCAACTGTGCACATCTCTGTTGTTCAAAGGTGGACCTGGTTCATGAGCCTGAATGAAAGGCTAATGTGAGCAGCCTGTTAAAATATGCATTAGTTATACACAAACAATGCCACTTGGCTCAATTCCTGTGATGAAAAAAAACCTGCTCACATGTATAAATGTGTTTTCAGAGAATACTTCATGCTGATTGGGCAAAGCTTGATGACTGGGGATGGGTAAATGGGGGCGTAACGATATCGAAGTCTCACGATACGATGTCATCAGTATGAACCTATTATAGCGATATCGTGGGAAAGCTCACAATATAGTGGGGAGGCCCAGGATTAGGGATGTAACAATATCCAAATCTTTCGGTACAATATTTTTACGATATACATCTCATAGTACAATATTTATTGCGATATTTTGTATATATTTAACATGCTACTTTTTCCTCTTAAAATGACTTGACAAGACTTAATCCAAAGAACTAAGACTTAAAAGTGCTTACAACTATCATTTCTTCATGTAGTCTGCACTGAAATGGAGCAAAGGATCCGGCCCTCCAAGACCTTTAATCTGGCCCTCGGCTGATTTTCTACTAAAATATTTTAATTATATTTTCTATTAAAATATTGGTAATTTTCTGCGGTGTTTATCACAGCAGCGTCTCCAGTGTCTCTGTACGTGGCCCCTCCCACCAGAGCAGCACAAATGAAGACTTGTCTCTTTCCAAGGACGATCGTTTAAAGGACGATCGTTTTGACTGTTGACCGTGACACCCTCATCAGAAAAATGTCCAACATGAGAAAAGTGGAGCCGAGTGCAGGATTTTCCACAAAAAATGGACTTAATCCTATTTGCCTAGTTCATGTTAAAACATTGTGTTGGAATTGCATTTTTCTTAAAGTTTCAGGTTGTTAATAATATAATATTTTGTAAAAGATTTCTGTAATAGATTTGCGTTTCCCTGCACAAATATTTGAACTTACTGTTATTTTTGGGGTTTAAATGCCATGAGTTTTCTGATCCAGCCCCTTTGGGATCAAAGTAGGTTGGATATGGCCCCCAGACCTAAATGAGTTTGACACCCCTGATCTATGTAGTTCCCTCTGTCTTTTTTTAGCTATAACTCTTCATTTAAGGGAGTTGTAATTTGATATATTGTGATGGTCCACGATATTATTGTGAGAACTTTCATGATATGATATCACAATATTTTGGTTACTGTTACATCCCTACTGGGTAACATTAAGAAGTTGTCGATAGGATACACAGGCGATGATATGATACCATATCTCGATACTGTGAGCTTTTGATTCAGTATGATACATTTCAAATTGATTTGATATGGTTTAATAAAAAATAAAGGCTAAATCATGGCTGTGATACTAAAAGTCTTTAATAAGTCATTAATCCACCGCTGTAAAGTTCATATGAAACACAAACATTTTAATCAAAACAGTGAATATGTCAAATGTCATATAAACGAGTTCCTCTAAACAAACAACAAAACTGTAGCACTGCAACAAAATAATTTTGTAAAATATACCAAATATTACTCTTGGCGATATATCAATACAGCAGCCCAGGATATCGATACTGTATCACCACATTAAACAATACAATATATCGATAGTTCAATATTTTTGCACCCCCCTATTCATGACAGTGGAACAAGCATGATAAAACGAGTTGGGGAAAAAAGCCCAGACATACAAGTGCTTCCTTCTACACGTTTTTCATCACTCATAGTTTCTGTGTGTCTATATGTGGTGTAAAACTCTGGAACAGTCTGGATACACGACTCAAGCACTGCCAAAATATCCATAAATTCAAGTTGTTCTATAAACATATGGTCTGGTCACAGTGTATAGAGAGTGGGTCTTAATATTAGAACAATACTGTCTTCTGTAGTGCTGCTTTATGTTTGTTGTTTTCGCACCATTGCTGATATGTGCTGTCTGTTACCATTGTTGGTATCTTTCATTTTCTTTATTACTGCAATACAGTTCTGTTACCAAACTATACTCTTTGTCCGTACTTGTAAATAGTTCATATAGTTCAATATAAAATGTCTGAAAATTTTGAAAGAAAGATCGTTGTGTTCGATTAGAAAAGGGGGGTGGGATTAAATACATTTTCTTCTTCCCACTCTTTTTTGGGCTAATTTTTTATATTTTGTTGTTATTTCTGTGTTGATTTCATTATGTTATGTGTTCTATTGTAAAAAAAAAAAAAAAAAAAAAAAAAAAGTAACTTTCTTACTTGCCCAAAATAATATACATAAATTCAAAATAAACAATAATAATAAAAGTGTGCCAAAGTACGAGTGTTGTGTTGCTGCCCTGTGAGTGGACCAGTCACCCAGAAACTGAGCCCAAATGCAAATGTATCTCCCTGCACAAGGTCAAAATATGTGATCTAAACACTGAGCACTCTTCTGTGGTCAGAGGCATGACCTCTGAGTAACAGCAGCTTACTGTGCATTTTACAGGCCTAATATAGATTGTACTGAAAGAGCCTGCAGCCTGTGGTCAGACACAGAGCCACATCTGACCAGTACAGTGGCAGACTATTGTTCTGGGTGGAAGTCTACCCTTGAGTGTTTAGGATACAGCACTTCCTCCAGTCGCTGCCTCAGGATCAGATAAGCCTGTCCTCCCTGCAGGTCTGTCTGGGGTGAGCTGCTGCCCAGACGCTGTACACTGACTGTGAGTTGAAAACAGATTGCAACATTTACAAATAAACACCACAGAACACTGTACTTAGTATAAAACAGGCCAACCCGCCCTGCATAAAGTGTCAATCTGTGTGATACGGTCTGCTGCTCCGCTCTGTTCTGGTCAGTCTGTTTGGTCTGGGGACATGACTC